CCAGTTAATATTTTGTGCTGTAATGAAAGGAACTGCTCAAAAAATTGTAGGGACATGTCAAAGGATATGCAAGCTGGCTTGAAAGGGTTTCCACTGACCAAATCTGGAACGGCTCGAGCATTAGAGTAAATAATATAGAAATATAATCATGAAATAACTTTTGAGTCTATAGTGTATAAATGAATATATGAAGAGGATGGAAAAAATCATTGATGGTAAAATGAATGCCAATTAAGAAATATAGAAGGAATAATGGAGTTAAGAAAAATCACCATTACTGTAATTAATGATTCAGTCAAAGAATAATCAATGGATGCTAAAGCTACTAAAAGTTTGATAGGAACAGGTATCCTGCTACTTATAGTCTTAAAGTATCCTTTCATAACTTATGAATTTCCAAAAGGAAAAGAGTAATTTTATAGTGAGTTAACCTAACAGTCCCAAACTTAACTAAATAATCAAAATTAGTAACACAAATTGACGTGATATGCCCCCTAATATATGCACTTTTACTTTTGTGGTATTACTGCCAAAAGTGCGTTCTCTGTATCTTAATTACAATGAGATATCAGAAAACCTAAATTGAAGAAGTCTATAAAAGAAATGAGTTATATTCATGAAAAATGTCAAGCTTGTAAAAAACTAAGAGACAACTTAATTTTAATTTTTAAAATTTATTGATTTTTATAAAGAGAGGAAAGGAGACAGAAAAAACATCAATTTGTTGTTCCACTTATTTGTGCATTTATTGGTTGATTCTTATATGTGCCTGGCCAGGAATCAAACTTGCAACCTTGGCGTATTAGCATGATGCTCTAACCAACTGAGCATCCCAGCCAGAACCATTTTTTTTTTAATTTAAATTATTTTTTATTTTTTAGTTGTAGTTGACATACAATATTATATATGCTTCAGGTGTATACCCCAGTGGTAAGACATTATATAACTTATTATCTTTATAAATTTTATACCTATCTGACAGCATACATAGTTACCAGAATATTATTTATTGTACTAGTGGCTCTGTGCATGGATTCATGCACATTGAGAGGAAATTGATTAGAAGGTGTCCGGCTGGGCAGGACTGGGAGAGATGGGCTGGACATGCCCTGGAGCCAACCTCCCGTGACCCCTCCCTGGCCAGCCGCTTTGTGTCTCCTTAATCTGTCATACAGCTAGAGGTTAAAATTTCCTACATTCATAACAGTGTTACCCATATTATTTGATGCTATTTTGAATGTACTCTTTCCCCCACTCGTGATGATTTTAGTCACACTTAAGCTTTTTATTTTTTAAAATATATATTTTTATTGATTTTGGAGAGGGAGAGGGATAGGGAGAGATATACAGAAACATCAACGATGAGACAGAATCATTCATCAGTTGCCTCCTGTATGCCCCACACTGGGGATTGAGCCTGAAACCTGGGCATGTGCCGTGTCCAGGAATTGAACCATGATCTGGTTCATAAATTGATGCTCAATCACTGAACCGTACCTGGCCAGGCTGTGTTTATTTATTAAGAGGGACAAGGGGTCAGAACTGGATATGAAAACCTTAGTTGATCTCAGTTGGAAATATTTAATCATGACAATGAGAACAAGTACTAGTCCTCAAGCCAGGGAAATAAAAATTTCACAAATCATAACAATCTGACTAAACCATAAATTTCTGGGTATTAGAATTATGTAAAGAATCTGCTTGAAGGAATAAGGTTAGGATGTTCCAAGGGACCAGAAGTCATATATTTTTAAAACTTTATGAATATTTGAATTATAAAGTTTCTCTATATATAATGTATTCTCTTTATTGAGATTACTATAGAGGCCTGATGCACGAAATTCGTATACGGGTAGGGTCCCTAGGTCTGGCCAGAGATCAGGACCAATTTGTGGGGTGATCAGTGGGGTGATCTTTGTGGGGGGAGGCCCCCGGCACCCACCTTGGCACCCACCTGGTGTCGCCTGCTTGCTAGCCATGCCCCCCCCCCCACAGGTTGATTGGGGGATGGGGCTCCCCGCCACTGGCACCCGCCTTGGCTGGCCTGGGACCTGCAGGCTGGGGGCAGCTTTTGTGTTGAGTACCTGCCCCCTGGTGGTCAGTGCATGTCATAGTGACTGGTCATTCCACTAGTCATTCTGCGGTTTGGTTGATTTGCATATTAGGCTTTTATTATATAGGATAGTACTTGTGTTGCTGTGAGTCACTTATGCTCCATTTGGGGTGTAATGGGAAGGAAAATATAATATTTATGGTCTTTTTGTTGTTAATCCTTACCCAAGGATATTTCCCACTCCTTTTTTCTTCTTTTCCTTTTTCTCCTTCGAGAGGGAAAGACAGAGTGAGAGAATATGGATGTGAGAGATACACATAGATTGGTTACCTCCTCCATGCACTCTGACTGGGCTGAGGATGGAGCCTGCAACCTAGGTATATGCCCTTGACCAGACTCAAACCTGGAACCCTTCAGTCCACAGCCAATACTCTATCCTTTGCGCCAGACCAGCTAGAGCTTGGTCTTTCTTACTAACAATGTTTTCTCTTTCAGCTGTAATAAAAAAAAAAAAAAACAACACAAATTTTAATCTATTGTGTTCAATTATGAGTAACAGATTTATAAAGAACATTGTAAAAATACTATTAGTGTATGACTTTGATTTTAAAATTCTATATTTCATTGTTGTTTTTGTTATATTTGCCTAAAACTTATTTAATACTGATTATCTTTAGTTTGTTTTTAACCATTGCACAGTGAGTTCAATTCTGAAAAACCATACTCTCTAAAATTCCTCTGTCAATACTATTGCCTGAGGACTTCATGTGATTCTTCATTTACAGAAAATGTGTCACATAATTTTGGAGCAGCTATTTTTTTCTAAATTTTATATACTGTTCTTTTTATGATAACTGCATTAGAAATTAAAAAAGAATAGGTCTGATTTATGTATCTATTTAAGTCTATACTGAAAAGAGAATGTCTCTTTTTAATCATCATTTGTTTTATGTTTTGGACTGTAAATGCTATTTGCTGGAGGACATCACAGGATAAGGATGAAATGTGTACAGCTGCATATTCTCCTCAATATTCAAGGGTTATATTTGTGCATATGTCCCTGCTTTAGTATGCTGTAGCTCTAAAAATAAAGAAAAATGTTAGATTCAATGGCTGTCACGCTGTCAGCTAGGAAAATAATTCCTTCTAATTGATCTTATATGGAGAACTTGGAAGGAATGGAAAGGGTGGTTTAATTTTTTCCCAGATTTCAAAGATGTGATTTATTGTACCTTGTAAAACCAAAAGGGAAAAATGGGGAATGGTAATGATTTTCCATGTCATTAGTTTTTATATTTGTAAAGTTTTAGCTTCCATTCATCCTACCTTGAAAGTTTAGATTTGGTACTAAAAACAAAATAATACTTCTGAGGTCATCCTCTGTGTTTATTGATATACCCTTCCCTCATCTCAAATGTCTATTTTATAAAAGCAAAGAAGTGGGACATTAATATAGCTACTAATGGACTTAGAATTTGCCTGAATTAAGAATGGTAGAAGAGTTGATCTATAAAATAACTGCATCTAGAACTTTTCTATGATAAATATAAGAAATTGTATTAACTTATTTGTGAAATATAGTAACAACTTTGTTATAGTGTTGTCTTTGACAGAGTGGTTTGACCAGTTGTTTGTTTCCCCATTTTTAAATTTTACTTGAGCCCTAGCTGGTGTGGCTCAGTGGATAGAGTCAGCCTGTGGACTGAAGGGTCCCAGGTTTGGTACCAGTCAAAGGCACATGCCCAGGTTGAAAACTCGATCCTCAGTAGGGGGCGTGCAGGAGGCAGCCAATCTATGATTCATTATCAGTGATATTTCTCTCTCTCCCTCTCCCTTCATCTCTGCAATCAATTAAAAAATAATAAAATAAAATAAAATTGTACTTGAGAATTTAGTTATAAATTGGTGGGTGATGTAAATTGTGAATTTGGATATTTAATTCTAATTGATATTAGGAAAATTGGTCATTACTCAGAAATGGTAATACAGTGGGAGATTTGAGAACTGTCTCATAAATTTGTCAAAATGTATTAGGCATATGAATTTTTTTGTTTTTAAACAGGCTTAAAAATGTTTTTTAATGGATTTCAGAGAGGGAGAGAGAGATAGAAACAGCAGTGATGATAAAGAATCATTGATCAGTTCCCTCCTGTTTGCCCCCTTCTGGAGATGGAGCCCTAAAGCTGGGCATGTGCTCTTGACTGGAATTGAATTGGGGACCCTTCAGTCTTCAGGCCAAAGCTCTAACTGAGCCAAACCAGCCAGGGCTAGGCTGTGAATTTTGGATGTGAAATTGGCTCTATTGCTGTTCAAAATGAGCATTTCATTTTCAAAAGCCTCTTCAGAGAAGAAGTGCATAGATTAAACTTATTTCTACATAATAGCAAAACACAAAATAGAATAATAGTTAAATGCATTTCTAGAGATCAGTTAAATTATGATATATCAATACACTTAAGTATTATACAGCTGTTTAAAAAGACTAAACTGGTACTAACATGTGTGTATTAACATGCTTAGCTCTCTAATATATGTTGTTAAATAAAAATATACACAGCCCTGGACTGGTGGTTCAGTTGGTTGGAGTGCCATCCCATGCATTAAAGGCTGTTGGTTCGATTCTGGTGAGGACACGTAACCTAGGTTACAAGTTTGATCCTTAGTCAGAGTGTGTTCAGGAGGCAACCAATCAATGTTTCCCTCTCCCTTTCCCTTCTTCTCTCTAAAATCAATTTAAAAAAACTCCACACTTTTGGAATCACTGTATTGAGTTTGTCTGCAGTATGATTGTTGTAGTGATTATTCAACAATATAAGAGTTTTGTAGTATGCTAATATTTTTTTAAAATTTAGGGCCTCTAGAAAAGGAAAACATATATATGGTAGGAGGTAAAGAGTAAAATGTACATCTATTTTTAAATCTCTACTGTGCTTTTTTTCTATTTCAGTTACCTAGAAAAGTACGAGAAAGTTCATCATTTTGGGGAGGATGATGATGAAGTACCACCAGGCAATCCAAAGCCACAGCTTCCTATTGGTGCAATTCCATCTTCCTACAATTACCAGCAACACAGTGTATCAGGTAAATTGGAAATTGACAGGGCATAGGTCCACAGTTTTGAATTAGGAAAATAAATAACATCAATGACTTAATTCCTTACTTAAAGCTTTAATATAATGTTCAAAGATCAACATCTAATTGGTATCAAGGCCTTTCTATCATAGGACTCATGAGGTTTTCAGTTGTAGCATTCATGAGGTTTTTAGTTGTAGCATTTTTCAGTCTTACAAATACCTATACTTTTTTTAAAAAGAGTATTACAGGTGCCCTCTATTATCCTCCTTTGCCCCTGACTTTTCATCCTCCCTTCTTCCCCCCTGCCAAATACCAATACTTTTATTTTATTTATTTATTTTTTAAAAATAATAAATCTTTATTGTTCAGATTATTACAGGTTTTCCTCTTTCCCCCCTTCTCCCCCATAGCTCTCTTCCACGTGATTCCCAACTCCACCCCATGCCCTTACCACCCCCCCCCCTTCATCCATAGGTATAAGATTTTTGTCCAATCTCTTCCCACACCCTTCAGACCCCCTTCCCCCTGAGAATTGTCAGTCCATTCCCTTTCTATGTCCCTGATTCTATTATATTCAACAGTCCATTCTGTTCTTCAGATTTTTTATTCACTTGATTTTTAGATTCACTTATTGGTAGGTATGTATTTGATGTCTTTTTGTTCATAATTTTTATCTTTACCTTTTTCTTTTTCTTCCTCTTCTTAAAGAATACACTTAAGCATTTCATGTAATCCTGGTTTGGTAGTGATGAACTCCTTTAGCTTTTTCTTGTCTGTGAAGCTCTTTATCTGACCTTCAGTTCTGAATGACAGCTTTGCTATGTAATCTTGGTTGTAGGTTCTTGTTGTTCATCACTTTGTTGTTGTTTTTTGTGTGTGTGTGTTTTTTTTTTTTTTTTTGTGTTCATCACTTTGAATATTTCTTGCCACTCCCTTCTGGCCTGCATAGTTTCTGTTGAGAAATCAGCTGACAGTTGTAGGGTACTCCCTTGTAGGTAACTAGCTATTTTTTCTCTTGCTGCTTTCAAGTTAGTCTTTTGTCCTTGGCATTTTAATTATGACGTCTTGGTATGGTCCTCTTTGGATTCCTCTTGTTTGGAGTTCTCTGTGCTTCCTGGATTTGTAAGTCTATTTCTTTTAACAGGTAGGGAAAGTTTTCTGTCACTATTTCTTCTAATAGGTTTTCAATATTTTGCACTCTCTTCTTCTGGAACCCCAAAAATTCGGATGTTAGTATGCTTAAAGTTGTCCTAGAGGCTTCTTTCACTATCTTCATAATTTTTTATCCTTTTTTTCTTCTTGTTTTTCTGGTTGGGTGTTTTTTGTTTCCTCATATTTCAAATCTTTGGTTTGATTCTTGGGGTACATTGATCTGTAGTTGAGTTTCTGTATATTCTTTCAGACAGTGTATGCTTAATTTCTGACTGGTCCCTTTACATTTTTTTTTTTTTTTTTTTTTTTTTTTGGCATTCTCATCAAGTTTCTCAAAGGTTTTTAGAAGATTCTTGAATAGCCTTATAAATGTGGTTTTTGAACTCTCTGTCATCCAGTAGTTTGCTTTCCTCCATTTCTTTCGTTCGTGACATGTTTCTGTGTCTCCACATTTTGGCTGCTTCCCTGTGTTGATGGAGTGGCTTTGTGTAGTAGGTGACCTATAGGGGCCAGTAGCTCAGCCTCCCCAATCATCTGAGGTAGACATTCTTGGTACACCCCTTTGTGGGCTGAGTGTAAAATCTTGGTGTAGTTAAGCCTTAATTGCTGTTGGTACATTGGGAGGAATTGGCCTCCAGGCCAATTGGCTGTGGGGACCCGCTGTGTTCATAATGGAAGAACTGCTGCCCTAGAGACATGCTTATGGTGTAGGACTAGTTTCAGTGGGGCTTTGGTGCTCACTGAGTCTGCCTCTTGAATATGTAACTTATGGATGTGAAAATTTGAAATCTGGTGTCTCACAGTGACCACTAGGTACACTGGCTTCTGGATCTCCAATGGGGTCAGCTACTGTTTGAGGCTATCCTGCAGGAACTACAGTGAGAACTACAATTTTCACCTCTTTGCTTAGGATTTGGAGGTTTTGAGCTGTCTGAACTGGGTTCCAAGTTTGCTAGGTTAAGCTGAGATAGGGAAGGCCATTCATATGCAAAAGCCACTGCGTGGAGCTTGGGTAGGTTTGTAGGTTGTGTGGGGCAGGGTCCTAGGGTGTCACAGGCTTAGGTGTGACAAATAGAGATGGCTCCCAGCCAGCTGTCTCTGCACCTCCCATCGCGCCCTGGGTCCCATGCCCCAATGCAGCAAGCAATTATTCCTACATACAGCTTTGCAAGCAAACCACCCTCACTTTCCAACCCAATGGCAGACAGTCCAGCTTCTCTCCATAGGAGTTTGGGTCCCTCGCGTCTCCCCAGAAACTGGAGTCCAGAGAAATCGGGAGCTTGTCTCCCTTCGTGTTGAAGAAAGCAATGCCCGCCGCCAGCCTGGATTGCGCACACCTCCGTACTTCAGCTTTTCAGCATTTGTGCACCGAATGCCCTTTTCTCTTTCCTTCTAGTTTTAGAACTTCCACTCAGCCAGCTTTCCCATGGTTCTGGGTAATAGATGTTTTGTCTTTTAGTTGTAGTTTTGAAATTGTTATGCAAGGCAGCAATTTAGGTGTTTATCTATACTGCCATCTTGGGTTCCCTCCTCAATGACTTTAAATAACAAAAAATATTGAGAAGATTTTGCTTTGAACTTTAGGGTTATTCAACTGTGGCATTAATACATGTGGTTATATCATTCATTTGCATCGTTTTTCTTGTTATCAATACCTAATCCTTTGGTTTTCCTCTTTCTATCCTCCCTTTCCTTCCTGCCCCTTGGTATTGATTTCAGTACAGTCAGTTCTGCAGTATTGTAAAGTAAAATTATTAAGGATGTTTTGTTCATCTTTATTTTTAAAAATTAAATTAAAATTCAATTTTTTAATTCAAGTAAAATTGTTTCTTTGCAATGTCTTCAGTAGAAAAATTATGGAAGGCAAAACTGAAAAATAAGTTGAAATTAATAGAACTATAGAATTTCAGAGCTAACCATGGTTTTAGTGATGATGTAATCCAATCCAATTATTTTGATAAAAGAAGACCAAGTACCCTCTCCATTTACATTTTTGGTATTTAAATTTGAGAAAGTTTGATACAGGAAGATTTAGGTTGTTTAGTTTTATAAATTGTACTTGAGCTTAAATGTCTCATATTCTAACAGACATTTGCACTACAATAATTACTGTCCTATGAATAGAAAGAAAGTTCTCTAGGAATAATGCTCCTTTTCCTCTAAACTGAAAACAAACATTGTCAGCCATGATCCATTTGTATAAATTTTGAGTCAAGAATCCTATATAATAAAAGCCTAATATGCAAATTGTCCCCTTGACCAAAAGTTCGACTGGGTGACTTGGAGTATTACTGCTCACTATGACATGCGCTGACCATCGGGGGGGGTGTGGAACATAGTGGGCATTGGCGATGCAGCGCTGGCAACAGGCGGCAGTGGAGTCTCTGCTGTGTTTCTATTGCTTGCCAGATCTCGGAATTGAACCTGTGCGTTTAATGCACCACACCTGTAGTATTGAAAGTAATTTCCAATCCCATTTCGAGTATAAAACTGTAGTTGTTCGATGATATCTCCTTGGGTAGAGAAAGGGGAGATTCTTCAAATCTTATAAACATTTTTTCCTACATTATCTTAGGAATTATTACCAAGCCTGATGATATAATTAAAGGACTTTTCATAATTATTTATTTGTGTTTTTTCTAATTTTTAAACTTCTTAAACATCTTGGTATTTTTTTGTTTTGATTGGAGATGTCTTTGGCAAAGTTATTCAGGTAAGGATGTATTGAATTGAGTATCTGATATAGCAGACAGAACAATTCTAAGATCATATTGAAAGCACTTACTAGTAAACAAGACTTGACAATGAATGTATTGTAGGTTCCAGATTATTTTCTGTTGAAGAGATTTGTTTAAAGGTTTCATGGAATCTTAAAAACTCTTGCTGATACTTGGGTTCTTATAATCAATTACCATATGTAGTTTAGAAATATCAAAATCTATTCCTTTTTCACAGAAGTTTTGTTAATTTTTTTCTTAGGTACTTATTTTCTGGTACTTATGAGATATTTCATTTCAAGACTAGAGGCTGGGTGCATAAAATTCATACATGGGGGTGGGAGGGTCCCTCAGTCTGGCCTGCACCCTCTCAATCCGGAACATCCCTCTCGCAATCTGGGACTGCTGGCTCCTAACTGCTTGCTTGCCTGCATGCCTACCTGCCTCATTGCCCCTAATTGCCTCAGCTTGCTGGCCTGATCTCCCCCAAACTTCCCCCCTGCCAGCCTGGCTGCCCCCTAACTACCCTCCTGCCAGCCCAGTTGCTCCCTAATTGCCCCCATGCCGGCATGGTTGCCCCCTAACTGCTCCCCTTCCGGCCTGGTCATCTCTAACCACCTCTGCCTCAGTCCCCACTACTGTGGCTTTGTCTGGAATGACATCCTGAAGATGTCAGGTGTAATTAGCATATTATCCTTTCATTAGTATAGATTATTAAAATGAACAGTATGTTATTGTTCAACCTTAAATATGGTCAAGAATCTATTCATAGTCATAACTATATTGTGGGACTTCACTATTATATTATTGGAGAAATTCTTAGAATATTTTAGAATTGAAGAGGTGTCTCCTCAAATGTCTATATTGGAAAATAAATTTCTTACCTACATGATTTTCTTCAGTGGCATGTTGTGGCAATGCATCCCTACTTTGTATTCTAATTTTTTCTTAATCCATATATTTTTGAAATGTTTTATCTAGAAGCATTTTAACTTGTTTTTTTGCTCTTCCCATTAAATTAGTTATATCTTACTAGAGACCTGGTACACGGATTCATGCACCAGTGTGGTCCCTCAGCCTGCCCTGCTCCCAGTCATAATCTAGGACCCTTTGGGGATGTCGCACTGCAGGGATCTAGCTGAAACCAGCAGTCCGACATCCCTTGAGGGATATAGTAGTGTATGAAGCGGCTGGCGGGCAGGCCAGGCATCACACTGCTCCTGCTCATCCCGGCCCCGCCTTGCCTACCACCATCACTGCTCAGTAAGCTCACTGAACAGTGCTCCCACTGTGTGAATGCACTGACCACCAGGGGGAAGCTACTGCATTGAGTGCCCCCTGGTGGTCAGTATGCATCATAGCAATAGGTCTACTGGTTGAATGGTGGTGTCGTCGTTTAGGCTTTTATTATATAGACTAGAAGCCCAATGCATGAAATTCATGCAAGGTCCTTGGTCCCAGGCCCACCTGCTGCCACCATGTCCAAGAACCTCTGCTGCCTCTGCTTCAGCCCCTGCCCACTGCAGCTTTGTTTGGAAGTACATCTGGTCTAATTGGCATATTTTACTTTTATTATAGATATGAAAAATGTACTTGGGATATATGTTTCAGGATACAGCTTTCAAGGCCTAAACTGCCCCAATTAAGAATCAGTATTTCTAGAAATATAACATTTTCTTATATGTATATGTTATGATTAAACATTAGTGTTCTGTAACCCTACCTTCAAAATTCCCAAATTGTTTTAAATTAATTCTCCTGTGGGAAATTTTAGTTACGTTGGATTAGAAAAAAAAAAAAAATGTTTAGGACACATGAACTGTAAAGGTAAAAATGTATAAATCAAACTTCATAAAAGTAAAACCTGTACTCTGAAGATGCTGTTAAGAAAATGAAAAGACAAGCCATTATCTGGGAAAAAATATTTACAAAGCAAATATTAGATAAGTGACTCATCAGAATATTTAAAACGGATAATATCAAGTGCTGACAAGGATGCAAAGCAACAGGAACTCTGTATATTGGTGGTATAAAGGCAAGATGTTACAGCCACCATACACTTTTGTATGACCCAGCAATCTAAGAGAAATAAATGTGGAAAAGTCTGCACAAGATCCTGATTGTTTATAGCAATCCTATATGATAAAAGCGAAGAATGCAAATTGTTCCCTCAACTGGAATTCTTCAGGTAGTTCAACCAGAGGGCAGGCCTGTTGGGGGAAAGTGGTGGGGGAAAGGAGGGAGTACCTGGCCAGCAGCCAGTAGTTGCTAGGGAACCTACCAGTGCATGAATTTTATGCACTGGGCCTCTAGTTATATTTATAGGTGCCCAAAACTGGGCAGAGTACACATGTCCCTCATCTGGGAAATGGATAAACAGATTTTGTTAACCTATACTATAACAGTAAAAAGGAACAAACTACTGACTTAACATGGATATTAACCTCAGAAGCATCTTCCTAAATAAAAGAAACCAGGCCTGTGGACCGAAGGGTCTGGGTTCGATTCTGGTTAAGCGCACTTACCTCAGTTGCAGGCTTCTTCCAGGACCAGGCACATGCAGGAGGCAACCAATCGATGTAATTTTCTCACATTGACATTTATATTTCTCTCTGTCTTTCCCTCTCTCCCACTCTCTAAAAATCAATGGAAAAATATCCTCAGATGAGGATTAAAACAAAAATAAATTAGACACATATTATATGATTCCATTTATTTGGCATTCTGAAATAAAGTTTTAGGAACAGAAAGATTAGTGATTGTAAATAGAAAGGACCATAAGGAATTTGACTACAATGGAGCATTTAAAGAAATTTTTTGGGTGATGGAATTACTATATCTTCTTTGTATGGTGGTTAAAAGACTGTATTTATCAAAATTCATAGCTATAGAGTTAAAATTTATGAATTTTACTTTGTTAATTATATCATAATCTAATTTTAAAAGGGAATAATTCTGCCCTGGCCTGTGTTTCTCAGTCGTTAGAAAGTTGGCACACACATCAAAGGGTTGCTGTTTCAATTCCTAGTCAAGGCACATACCTGGGTTGCAGGTTCAATCCCTGACCCCCATGAGAAGGCAACCAATTGGTGTGTCTCTCATGTGGATGTGTCTTTCCTCTTCCACTCTCTTAAAAAAAAAAAAAAAATCAATGGAAAAGATATCCTCAGGTGACAATTACAAAAAAAGGAATAACTATAATTAGGTAAAGAAAATAGGCAGTGTATCTAAAAGCATGATATTGTTAAAAATTTAAAAGGAACTAGTCCACTAGCTTTTTAGTATTCTTACATAAAAATCAGAATAAGTCCTTTGAAATGCAAGAGTTTATAAAAAGTATAGATCAATTAAAATAATAACTTTACAATTATATCGAAGAGGGCATGTACATTTTTCTATTTTAATACTTGAAAAATATAATTTTAACTTACGAAGTTTAGACAATTGAACTCCTAAAAAACGTTGCACTCTATATTAAAAATACACACATAATAAGCTCCTGTCTTTTATTCAGAGGATATTAACAACAATGGTTTCTATTCCTTGATAAACATAAGGTGTTTTTGTTTTTATCTTTGTTAGATTATCTTCGTCAAAGTTATGGGCTATCTATGGACTTCAATTCGCCAAATGATTATAACAAATTGGTGCTTTCACTGTTATCTGGGCTCCCAAATGAAGTGGATTTTGCTATTAATGTATGCACTCTTCTATCAAATGAAAGCAAACATGTCATGCAACTTGAAAAAGACCCTAAAATCATCACTTTATTACTTGCTAATGCTGGGGTGTTTGACGACAGTAAGTTTTAAGCAAAACACATTGAATTTTTATTCTATAAAGGTGTTACAGATTTTGTTTTCAAGTTATTTAAGGAGAAAATTACTTTTTATTGATCAATATATTTGTTTTATATAAATGTATTATTTAAAATAATGAATGTTTGGATTTTTAACTAAACAGTTTAGATCAGTGCATTTTAAAATTCGCTGCCTAATCAACATAGGATTTACCAAGTTTTTCATATCCTTTATACTTGTAATGTTTACAGAGGTATAGGTTTTTATAAATCACGTTTTTTATTTTCTGTGAAATTAATCTCTTACTAAATCTAGGTTTTCTTCAGATCAAATAGTTCAGTTTTCTGCTTGTAGTGTAATAGTTTAATAGAGATTGAGAAAATATCTTTTGAAATCTTTACTTGCTCATAGTTTTCTTTTTTAAAATATCCATGTTAGCTGAATATTATTGATACAAATATTTATTTGCTCCTCTAACCTCCTACCCCAACACCATTGTAACTTTTTTTCATAAGTATATTCTATTAAAGGGTAAAGTATTCACATATAATGAAATTATTTTATCATATAGGAACTATATATATGGCACAATCAACACAGCCTGAGAATTTCTGTAATATTTTATAGGTTCACGATTTTTTAAATCTATAAATAGCAATATGTTTACAAATTTGTTTCTTTTTCTGTGATTTGATTTGTGTCAAGTAGTATACTTTCAAACATAAATTTAAAGGAATCATCTAATCGGGATTCCTTAAAATTTGGCATGTACTTATTTTATATGAAGACAATTTTGAAATTAGCTTAAACAATAGTGGGAATTAGTTTCTTACTTTCCCTGAAACTGTCCTTATTCTTGGTTACATGTGGAAGGAACAAAGATCAGTACTTCTCAGTTTATATAATAATTTTAAGATCTAAATTTAGTGATTTCCATCTCAATTTTATGTTCTTTGATTCGTAATATTTTATTTTTAAAATTTTATTTTTTAATTACAGTTTGCATTCATTATTATTTTGAATTCATTATTTTGGCATTTTAAAGATACCATTCGGCATTTAATATTGAATGAAGTTTAAAATTGTTCCACAGTTTTAGAAACCTAAAAATGAAGTTTTTAGAAAGAATATTCTCAAACCAGAATAATCTTTTTTGAAGTCTTATCATTTAATCACTGAATAAGGATTAAACATGTGTATTTGATAGAAATAATGTTAACAGTTTTGGTTCATGAAGTATGATATTTTATAGACCTAGTTTATCTTACATTCTTTAAACATTTTTATTTATCTTAAAGAATAAATTACTCAGTGTAGCAACCTAAAACATTAATAATTTAGAAAATGCAAATTTAAGAAATTCAGAAGTTTAGCATTCCAGAGTACAGAGACTTTTTGACGTCCCCATACTTAAAATACTGTTTTAACATTATGAAAGTGATTTATTTGAATTTGAGAATTATGGTTATATTTGATTTGGTTAGGCTTTTGAGAGGTTTTGATTTATTTTTTAAGGCATGGAATTTTAATTGAGAGATAAATATAATGCCACTTCCTTTGAAAATGCGGAATGTTGATGCACTTTGTGTTTGAAGGCATATAATAAGAGTAACAAAAAATGAATTTTCCATCTGTTTTCATAATTTGAAATATTATTTCAAAAGAGATTACTATATTACTATGTCTGTCATTTACTATGAAACAGTTTTTAGTGTACAAGATATCTTAAAATGTGTTGCTACTGTTTTTCTACACCTACTTATTGTTCAGGACTTAAGTGATAAAAATAATTCCATTCTATTGAATATACTATTCTTTTAGCTTTAGGATCCTTTTCTACTGTATTTGGAGAAGAATGGAAGGAGAAGACTGATAGAGATTTTGTTAAGGTAATTTGCATACATTTTTAAAATATTGAATCATGTATTCATGTAGCCAAGGGCCAGTATCATGTATATACTATTTTATATACATAATACTACCTATACATTACTCTTTATCATTATACATAGAGATACCTATGTGAAAGTTGTGATTAAGTTGCATAAAGTGCTTTTAGAATAGCTAATAAACAGAAATAAAGTTCTAATTCTATTCAACATTGATTTCTGAAAATGATAAATCTTTAACAAAACAATAAATCTGAGGAAACTCAGATTCTGGACAGCAGTGTAATTTCCTTATGGTTGTTTTTCAGTTTGTTTAATGACTCTTTAGCTATCTCTAATATTCCATTTGACTCATCGGTAAGTTTTATTTTAGTGATTGTTTTAATTTCTAGAAATTCATTTTGTAATTTTCCAAAGTAGCCCTTGAATGTTTTTAATAATTTTAATTTATATATATTCGAAGTATATTAAAAATATAAAATTTATTAGTATCCCATCTAATAAAGAGGGAATATGCTAATTGACCATCACACTCTCACAAAGATGGCAGTGCCCACACCCAATAAGGAGGGAATATGCTAATTGACTGTCATTCCCTCAAAGATAGTGGTGCCCACAGTGACAAGATGTCGGTACCCAGTTCCCTCAGCCCCACCTGGGCGGGCCTGAAGTGTAGGCAAGCCTCGGATGGTGGCTGCCTGGTCTTCTGAGGCTTAGGTAACCAGGGCTGGCTGAGGTTTGCGCTACTGACATGGCAGCAGCAGGGATGTGATGGCTGTGTCGCTTTCCCCTGATCGCCGGGTTGCCTGCCTCTGTGGGCTCCTGAACTGTGAGAGGGGGCAGGCTGAGCTGAGGGACCCCATTCTCGCCCCCCTGGTGTACCCTCCCCCCCTAGTGCATGAATTTTCATGCTCAGAGCCTCTAGTATAAATATTATATGTAAACATAATAAATGTTATATATAAATTGTAAATTATACACACACACAAAAACATGAATATCTGATAATCCTGATATCTAGGCTTCTTGCAACTCTATTTCTACTCACTCTGACTCAAAGATTATTCTTTTGTGTTTTATAATGTTGGTTTATAAATTTCACCAGACCTGTTTGTGGGATTTTTTAATATAAATTAAACGAGAGTTTATTTCTCCACTTCTGTATTGCATTTGCCAAAAAAACTGAAAAGAAATACTGATCAGAATGACTATTAGTTTCTTTAGTGGAGCTTTTCCAATAACTGATAGTAAAACAAAACCTACGGGGGTTCTAGAGCAGGCTAGTAGTGAAATATTAGGGGATTGTTTTTAACTCAAACCTCAAGTGGAGATAATCTTTTTATCTCTTCTTTTGAGGTTACTAGGTCTTTACATTTATCTATCACATGATATGTAGTTGGATTTCAAATTCCCCACTCACTTCACCCATTAAAAGCTAAGCCTCTTGGTTGTAGTTAGGCAGATAATTTTCTTTAACTCCAGAATATTGGCAATTAAGTATAAGATGTTAAAAATACTTATTTACATATTTACATATGCAATCACAAAGGAGAGTGGGTTGTCAGTATAATCACTAATCGCATGGAATCAGGAAGACACAAATAAGGATGATTAGATGATCATCTCTGAACTTTTTCATTAATTTCTGCTGTTTATATTATTTTTGATATGCTATGTTCTTTGGATTTAATTTGTTACACAATTTCTAACTTAATCTGGTGTTTACATTATTGATTTTTGTTTTTATATTTCTAATACATTTAAATCCATAAAATTTCCTATAAGCACGCATTAACTTTATTCTTTCCATTTTAATATTTCATCTTTAATTCTTAAAATATCTTCTAATTACCATTATGTTTTACTCTTTGGTGCATGGATTAATTGAAGGGAATTTTCTTAATTTTCAAAAACATTACTTTAAAAAATATATTTTATTGATTCTTAGAGAGAGGGGGGGAAAAGGGAAGAAAGGGAGAAAAACATCAATGTGAGATCAAAACATCGATTAGCTGCCTCCTGCACCCCGCCAACTGGGGATGGAGCCCCAAACCAGGCATGTTCCCTTACATGGAAATCGAACCACCAACCCTTTAGTGCATGGGAGAATGCCCAACTAACTGAGCCACTTCGGTCAGCGTCATATGAAGTTTTTTTTAGTTTCCTATTTCTTATTAATATCTAACTGAATTTCACTATAGTTATAGCTTTCTAGTCTTTTGTACATATTGTAAAGGATCTTTTTTGCCTTTAAATCTACTTTTTCCCCCGTCTGATACCAGTTTAACCATGTCTACTTTCATTTGAGTATTACATATGTCTCCTTTCTCTCTCCCCTCCATCCCCCACATTGTCCTTTCCCTGCCTGCTCCCACTCCTAGCACAGGCCCTCACCTCCCTACTGTCTGTGTCCATTGTTTCTGCTTATATGCATGCACAAAAGTCCTTTGGTTGATCTCCCTCCCCTTCCGTTGGCCCACCCCTGTCTTCCCTCTGTTCGATGCTTCTATGACTCTGGGTCTCTTTTTGTTCATCAGTATGGAGTTTCCTCAAAAAATTAAAAATGGAACTCCCATTTGACCCATATTATCACGTCTAGGAATATATCCCAAGAAATAAAAAACACTAATCAGAAAGAATATATGCACCCCTATGTTCATAATAGCACAATTTACAATAGCTAAGAATTGAAAACAGCCTGAGTGCCCATCAGCAGATGAATGGATTAAAAAACAGTGGTATATCTACACAAGGGAATATTATTCTGAGGAAAAAAAACTCTTACCATTTTTTAACAGTGCAGATAGTACTGGAGAGCATTATGCTAAATGAAATAAGCCAGTTGGAGAAAGATAAATATCACACAATCCCACTCATTTGTGGAATATAGTATTTTAATTGATTTTAAAGATAAAGGAAGGGAAAGGGAGAGATAGAAACCTCAATGGGCTGCCTCCTGTACACCCTCTACTGGGGATAGAACCTACAACCTGGGCATGTGCCTCCACATGAAATTGAACCTGTGACCAATGAGCCACACCAGGTGGGCTCAGCCTTTCTTATTCTTTAGATGACTTTTTGTAAAAAACATGTTTCTCCAGTGTGAAAATCTTGGTTTTTAAATTAGTATATTTATTCCATTTACCTTAAATGTAATTTTGATGTAATTGTATTCTTATTTTTAAATTTACTATGTTTTGCATTGGTTTCTATACATCCTGCCTGTTCATTTTTTTGGTTTTTTTCCTTCTTATCTTTTTCTTCAATTTATTTGAATGAATATTGTATGAATATGGTTTATTAATTAATTTTTCATCCTCTTAGTTTGGTATTTGTACACTTATTCTGTTCTCTCATTGATTGTGCTAGAGATTATAGTTTAAATTCTTAATAATTTAGTAAATTAGTACTTTTACTACTGTATACTTCTTAAATAATTCAGGGACGGTAGAATGACTCCATCTCCATTTACTCGCTTTGATTTACATACTACTTTTTTATGTATTGTTTTGCTATTTTTCAGGTTTCTTAAAATAGAATCTTAGACCATTGGTTTTAAACTTTTCTTGTCTAATATCAGCATATAAAGTTATAAATTCTCTCTACAATCTGCTTTAGCTCTGTCCCAAAAATTTTATGTTGACTTTTTTTTTTTTCATTTAAATCAAGATACTATTTTATTCCCCTTGTGATTTTTGTCTTCGATTGGTAGGTTATATAGACATATTCTGTTAAATTTCTGACTATTCATTTTCAAAATAGCTTTCACTGTCATTACTGAATTTAATCACATTCCATTATTGTCAGAGAACATATTCTATATCTTTTTAGATCTTTTAAACTTAATAAGACTTGTTTTAGGGTTCAATATGTGGTCTTCCTTGGTGAATGTTTTATGCGACTTGAAAAGAGTGTGTGTTTTATTGTTGTTTGTAGTATTTATTGATATCAGTTAAATCAATGTTGTTGACAGTGTTGTTCAAGAATTCTCTATTATTACTTTTCTGTGTAATTATTCTGTGATTTCTTGAGAGATTAGTGTTGAAATTATCAACTATAATTATGAATATTTATTTCCCCTTTCAGTTGTTATTTTTGGTTTCATATATTTTAAACCTCTGTTATTAGTTGCATATACATATAGGATTGTTATATTTTCATGACGATTCAGCTTTTATTTATCCATTGTCATTTAAAATTTCATGTTTGATATCTTTTTTTTTTTTTTTTTTTTTTTTTTTTGGTAAGAATTTATTAGGTCATCTGCAAACCAGAGGGGCTGAGCTCAAAAATGGGATCAGCCTCAGGTTTGATATCGTTCTTTCAATTTCCTGTGGCCCTGTTTTTCTCGGTTATTGAATGTTGTCTCTTTTCTTCATATTCCTAATTCTTCATTTTATTGTTACTAAACATTTTTTAATCATGAAAGTTTTGGTTTCTTTTTGCTGGGGATCCTTTTGGTGATGGACTTTCTCTCAGACTAGTGACTTTAACTGCAAAAGAACCTATTTCCCAAAGTAAAATGCAATTATATTGAAGCATATATAAGAGAAGTTTTAGAAATAAAAAGTGAACTAATAGCCTTGTACTTCTTTGAGTACAGAAATAAGGTAATGCAGTTACATGGTATAGACAAGTTGAAGTCGAAATTCATTTTTTATAGACATATCTGTATAAAAGTATTTGTTTCTTATCCTGGAAAAGAACATTAAATAAGAGATTTTGACTTACCTCCTCTCACATATGGATTAAAAACAAAAGTTTGTAGATACAGAACACTGGAAAGCAACTTCAATATCTGGGTTACCAGTTTAGGAAGACATATCTTCACCACTTGATGTTTGATTTCCTTCAAGATATTGATTTACTCAGTAACTGTGTCTCAGGAGTGTCTATAAACTGGAATACAGTGATTATGTGCAATTTACTAGTGGTATTAATTTTAATGAGCATAAACACTTTCTGTATATTTTTCATTGCTGTAAAGTGATCTGAAAATATCTGATTCATAGTGTTGACAATGTGATCTGAAAATATCTGATTCAGTGGATAGAGCATCGGCCTTCAGACTGAAAATATCTGATTCATATTGTTGTCACAGATACTGCTAATATTACTGTGGTTTGTCTAACATTCAGAGTTGAAGAAAATGCTAAGGAACTGATAAATTTTAGTTAGAGGTTATGACCATGTCATTTTCCCCACTCATTCAAGTTCATATATGCCCTAATTTCTTTCACAGACTTTTTAAGGATCTGTGGACCCTAAGCTAAGACCCCCTGGTTCAGAATGATACTGTATTGTATAAGTTCCTTAACTATAGAAAATCAAGCATTTATGTTAATGAATTAAATACACAGAGTATAGTGATACCTATATGAACCAAAAAAAGTTTTATAATTTGTGTGACTACTTTTAAAATAATAGAATGGTTTTTTGAAATTGTCAGAATTATGCATAATAATTTCTCTCTATAGTTTTGGAAAGACATTGTTGATGATAATGAAGTTCGTGACCTTATTTCTGATAGAAACAAGTCTCATGGTAAGTCAGTAAGAAAAAATTTCAAGTAACTTTGAAATATCAATAATAACAAATGAAATATTAATGAGTATAATATATATTTTTTTGTTGTAGAAGGTACATCAGGAGAATGGATTTGGGAGTCTTTATTTCATCCACCTCGAAAGCTGGGCATTAATGATATTGAAGGACAGCGGGTACTTCAGATTGCAGTGATTTTGCGAAACCTTTCTTTTGAGGAGGGAAATGTTAAGCTCTTGGCAGCTAATCGTACCTGTCTTCGTTTCTTATTACTTTCTGCACATAGTCATTTTATTTCTCTAAGGCAATTAGGCCTTGACACATTAGGAAATATTGCAGCTGAGGTAAGCATGTGACAGTAACTTGAAACAGTTTTAATAGTGACAATATTTACTTCAAATTTTCAAGATGTGGCATTATTATATTTGCCATATTTATAGAGTATTCAATGCTTACATATAGTTTTTGCCTAAAATGGTATTGTAGAAATATCACACATTTTTATGGGTAAAAAATATTTGAAATGATGCTCCAAATGTAGTGGTGGCTATGCTCATAGTAATTACATTTTTAAAGTTATGCAATATTATTCTATTCATTTTTATTAAATGTGAAATATACTACATTGGAAGAGATCTACCTCAATAATAGTGTCCTTTCTTTTTCTAGCTTTTATTGGACCCTGTTGATTTCAAAACTACTCATCTGATGTTTCATACTGTTACAAAATGTCTAATGTCAAGGGATAGATTTTTAAAGATGAGGGGTAAGTGTCCAAACTTTTTATCATCTGTTAAGAAACAAATATTAGTATAATGAGTTGCTTTGCTGTCCCCTACACCAAAAGGTTTGGGTTTGATTCCCAGCTAGGGCACATACCTAGGTTGTGTGTTTGATCGTCAGTTGGGCATATACAAGAACCAGTGTTCGATTGATATATCTCACATTGATGTTCCTCCCGCCCCCGCCTAAAATCAATTAAAATAATTTTAAAAATATGTCCTTGGATGAGGATTGAAAAAAAACACACCACAAATATATATTTTTATGTGTATGCTTTTCAGGCATGGAAATTTTGGGAAATCTTTGCAAAGCAGAAGATAATGGTGTTTTGATTTGTGAATATGTCGATCAGGACTCATACAGAGAGATCATTTGTCATCTCACTTTACCTGATGTACTGCTCGTAATCTCAACACTCGAGGTGCTATATATGCTCACAGAAATGGGAGATGTAGCCTGCACAAAAATTGCAAAAGTAGAAAAGAGCATAGGTAAGACTAAACCAAAGAAACATGTAAGTTTTGTTTTTTTTGAGATGAAAATACATAATGTGCTATATGAAATCACAATTGATATTTGGGGTTTACTGTTAATTTGAGGAGTCATTATGCTTTCAGACACATTTGTTTGTAATATTCTTTCTGCTTACTTTAGATGAGCAAGAAACTTCTGTCACAATAGAGTCCAAGATGTATGTGACTAGTAATCCCTATTCCTTCTCTTTATTTCTGTTACTAGTATATGAAATTTGAAATCAACAGAACTACTATTATTTGACTCTCTGGGCTATAGGTCTTTCTAGTTCAGATGGTTAAGCAACTAAAGCTGAGTGAAACAAGCTTCTTTCTGTTCATAGAAGTTGCTAATAGTGGTACTATCCTTAAAACCAGTAAACTCACCTCCATGGTGGGTTGTAAGTGTGTATGTCATGTTAACATTTTACTCAGTGATTCAAATGATTTCTTTCTTTTATATTAAATTTTAAAATCAGAGTTAATAAAGATTTGGAATGAAAAGTATTGTTTTGGAGAAATTGTGTCACTTTCCATATAAGTAGTTCCAGAATCACTTGGTTTTTATTTTCTTTAAAAAAAAGAAACCTAACCTCCAATTCAGAGCTACTAAATCATTCTTTAGAGGTGGAGCCTAAAATCTTTTTTTAAAGATCCACAGATAATTCTAATGTACAACAATTTATATAATGGATTTGAGAGGTAGTATTCTGTACAGTATGTGGTTTTAAGCAGTATGATTTTAAAATAATACTATTGATTAATAACTATTGGCTTTTTAATTTATTTTAGACATGTTAGTATGTCTGGTTTCTATGGATATTCAAATGTTTGGCCCTGATGCACTAGCTGCAGTAAAACTCATTGAACATCCAAGTTCCAGTCATCAAGTTTTATCTGAAATTAGGACACAAGCTGTAGAGCAAGTTCAAACCCAGATCCATGTAGCATCTGCCCCAGGTTAGTGTTTTTACATATTCTTTTTCAGTGTGGTTATTGGTGTGTAAGATTTAATACTATGGCCGAAACTGGTTTGGCTTAGTGGATAGAGCGTCAGCCTATAGTTTGAAAGGTCCCAGGTTCGATTCCGGTCAAAGGTATGTACCTTGGTTGCAGGCACATCCCCAGTGGGCTATATGCAGGAGGCAGCTGATCGATGTTTCTCTCTCATCGATGTTTCTGACTCTCTATACCTCTCTCTTCCTCTCCGTAAAAAAATCAATAAAATATATTTTTAAAAAAGATTTAATACTAAGGATAGTTTTAGATGTGCACTTCGGGAAACAGATTTTATAGTAGAGTAGGCTAAAGGAAAACTTGAGTATGTAATTTAATTTCTTAGTTATACATTCCAGGAGCAGTATAATATAATAATATAATAGAGAGATAAATTTAAGTAGCATTTTGAGGAGTGTTAAGGATTAGATTCACAATGTGAGAGCAATAAGTGCTTCATGTGATTTTGGTCATTGGAAATTGATAAGCCAGGAATAGGTTAATCACTTACACTAATAAAAGAGAAACATGCAAATTAATCATCACTTCGCTATGTCCACCACCCAATCAGGATGGGATATGCAAATTAGGAGGAGAAAGGCAGCCCAGCTACTCCAGGTGACCAGTGGCTGGGCAGGGCAGGATGCCTGCTATGAGAGGGAGGGTGGGGGTCGACAAGGGGATCTACAGGAGCAGCACTCTGGCCCACAGCAAAGACAAAGATGGCATAATATGGCCGGAGTCTGCAGCAAAGACAAAGATGACAGACTCCAGCTGGAGTCTGCAGCAAAGATAAATACAGCAGACTGCAGCAAAGATGGCAGACTCCTGCCAGAGTCTGTAGTGAAGATGGCATACTCCAGCCGGACTCTGCAGCCAAGATGAATGTGGCAGACTCTGGCTGGAGTCTGCAGCAAAGGTGGCATACTCTGGCCTGAGCGAAGGCCTGGGTCCCAGGTGCGGGAGGAAAACCAGTGCTAGAAGCCAAGGGAAGGAAGGCCTATTGCACGAATCTCTTTGTGCAATGGGCCTCTAGTATATTATAATTTTCTCAGATGGTCATCAGAATACATCAGGCCAATACCCCCTTAATACTTCTAAATCTTGGCCCACACACCACAGAACCAGCCTATGATCACTCACATGGGCATATGTATACAAACACATGTACAAGCATATATACTCGCATTCTGCATCCTTCCGAGAGTCCCTTGGGTAAATTCTGTTTAACTCAAATATTTTCCATTAAAATTCAGACCTCTCTAATAACTAATATTCTCCTTGGACTTCTGGTTGAGTCATTATATTTTACCACTTCCAGCTTTTTTGTAGAGTGCTCTCTTCACCTTCATTTGTCCTAGCAGAAGCAGTTCATCTTTCACTTTAACCGCTCTCCCACCTCTCACTGTTCCCAAGACATTTCTCTTTCCTTGTATTTTGTTTTTAATGGAGGATGCTCATTTTTTCAGTTGCTCTTACCTCTCACTTTGCAGGTAGAATGCATGCTGTGGCATAAATTTCTTCAAACTTCTTAATTCTTCACTTACAAGCTTATTGTCATCTGAACTTTATTCTCCTTCAGCTTCCCCTTGTCATAGGAAGAGATGGTAACATCTTCTGAAGCTGTGCTCTAAACACCAGTCTTCCCATTTTCTCATTCCTATGTCTTAACCTCTTTCTTTTTACCTGCATCTTGCTTTCAGACTAGAAATACATTGAGATTTTTCTCAACCTCCTCCTACACTACCCTTAAAATCAAAATCTCATTATTCTTAATCTTTAACTACAACATTTATTTAATCACCAAATCTTGTCGAGTCTCCTAAATACCCGGACTTCTTCAATTGCCAGTGCTTATGACTCAGTTCAGACTCTAATCATATCTCTCCAGGCATCTTGTTTCCTTTTTATTTAATCGTGGTCCCAATCTCTGTTTTACTATAATAGAATCAAAATTATATACTATATTTACTCAAAGTATGTAATATGTCACATATTTCATTGATTTCCATTATGTTCTTCAGAAGTATATTGTAGAGTTGTATCACATGTGCATGAACTTGAGTTCTACCAACAGACTGGACAAATAATAGAAGGCATGAAAAAAAAGGTAGTTTTGACTACTAATCTATTCAATGAGCTTTCACCCACCGGCAATAGATGTCAAATAGGTAGTGCATATTGGTGAATCAGGGGTTAGAATATTAATAGTTTCTCAATCTTTAAAAAGAAATGAGCCCTCACCAGTTTGGCTCAGTGGATAGAGTGTCAGTCTGCGGACTGAAGGGTCCCAGGTTTGATTCCCATCAAGGGCATGTATCTTGGTTGTGGGCACATTCCCAGTGGGGTGTGTGCAGAAGACAGCTTATTGATGTTTCTTCTCTCTCATTGATGATTCTTCTCTCTCATCAATGTTTCCAACTCTCTATCCTCTCTGTAAAAAATTAATAAAATGTATTTTTTTTAAAAAAAGAAATGTAACAGTTCATATTGCCATTTAAGTAAGTGGTGGAGGTCTATGTTTATCCTCAAAGAAACTTGAAGAATAAATTAATTGAGGGCCATGGAGAAACTGTCCAAGAAAGGAATTAATAAATTACCAGTGATACACTGAGTTATAATGGGCTATTTGAAAAATATTCAAGGGTATTTTCTTTTTTTTTTCTTTCTTTCTTTCTTTCTTTTTTTAAAATATATTTTATTGATTTTGTACAGAGAGGAAGGGAGAGAGATAGAAAGCTAGAAACATCAATGAGAGAGAGTCATCGATCAGCTGCCTCTTGCACACCCCCTACTGGGGATATGCAACCAAGGTACATGCCCTTGACCGGAATCGAACCCGGGACCCTTCAGTCCCCAAGCCGACGCTCTATCCATTGAGCCAAACCGGTCTCGGCTCAAGGGTATTTTCGATGAATGCTGCTATTTTTTGCCTTGTCACTAACCTGTGACCTTAACTCACTAAGATTTGGACCTCATTTGATAAACGGACGAAATTAAACATTGAGTTTGTGGCTTGTTTATTTATGTAGTCATTCATTTATAGAAGGTGTGAATAGGTCTTTAAGGACTACAAGAGTTCATTTCTGACCTAATGAGCACTTTATTGTTTGCTCATTATGAATGACAGCTTTTTAATTATTTGATTAGTTACCATTTTTAGTTTTGTGCATACCCTTCACCTTTGCCCCCCTAGTTTAATACTGCTTTCTTAGGGAATGGTCATCTTCAAACTTTTCCTTCACTTTCTCTCATCACTATGAAAAGTTAAGTAATCTTTCACCCATTTTTAGGTTGACATCTAAATTTCTTCACCATAGTCTAAATAGTTGTAAATAATATGTTTTTATGCATATTAAATTGACATTTTAAAATAAAAGTTAAATACTTGGTTTATTCAGGGGAATCTTGTATTGTCATGCAATTTTTAAAAAATAAAACACAACTCTTAATATCAGAAATTATATGATGTCCCTCATACTCCTTGAACTCATATCCATCACTCTATCAATACTTCTCAGCTATAAATGTGGACAGTTTAAGTTTTTCAATTTTCTGTTACTTTATTAAACTCTGTTAAAAATTTTATTATTACAAGTTTTAGTAATATACAGTGCATCAAACAACAGTAAATCATTACAAATTTTTATAAATAAACATTAAATAAAAACTAAAATTATTGGAAGTGCATTTATTAATGAGATGGACAATACTTTTTTCCCTAATTCTCCAGAAAGTATTATTCCAGTCTGTCTAGGAATGAATATTTTGAGTACAGCATCTATTTTATCTCTGTTTTGTCTTTTTGTAAATGTAAGTTGGAAACCTACTTCATGTTAGTAGATGAAGGCAGAACTTAAAATTCTTTGAACTTCTTCAGAATTATTGAAAATTATTAAAATTATATTTAAGATCTGACAACTTTAGTTCTCTGAGTTTGTTGAAATCAAAGAATTAACAATACTTGATTCACAAAAGTATTTGTTGTCCAGTCATTAGAGATATTTATTTTTGTTTATTGAAATTATGTCAAAAAGATGTAAGATATAACTGAATTTTACTTGCTACTCTTTTATTTAGATGTACCTTGTTTAACCTAATATATTCAAGAAGTGTTAGCATAGTGGTCACAACTTAAGTGTGAATTATCTGGTGGGCTTAAATGGTGATTTTTAGGCACCATACCCTGAGTTTTTATTTAGGTGGACCTGAGAATTTTCATTTCTAACAAATTCCCATGAGATACTGATGATACTGGTGAGGAGACTACACTTTGATAACCACTGAGTTAGGAAGTTTAAAATATTGTTCATTTCAAGGCCAGTATACAATGTTTTTTGATAAAGTGCGTTTACCATGTGCTTTGAATATGCTTTTTTGAAACCTTGGTTTGGCACTGCACATTTATCTCAATTGATTATAAAAAATGTCTGCCACATAATCTACCCAGTAAAGATAGTGTTTATTATTAAAAGTATGCTTACTTTTTATTACTTAGAAAAAAGTCCACTGTTTTTCAAATTAAGTATATGTTAATATATATTCCTGCCTTACTTACTTTAAAATTCTGTGGTAAATTAGCCATGAGATTGTCATATGAATGAAATAAGATGTCACCATCTTCAATATTTCCTTAAAATATTCTCTGTGCTTTACTTACACAAGATTCTGCCTCAGAAGTATTACATTCTTTGACAGTAGTTGAGGGATAAAGAAGGAAAAGACATTAAACAAACGTTGTCATCACTTTGTAATATAGTTTAATTCAGAACACACCAAAGGACTGGAATACCCAATTTCTTTTTCTTTCTTTCTTTCTTTTTTTTTTTTTTTAATATATTTTATTGATTTTGTACAGAGAGGAAGGGAGAGAGATGGAGAGTCAGAAACATGGATGAGAGAGAGTCATCGATCAGCTGCCTCTCGCATACCCCCCACTGGGGATATGCCTGCAACCAAGATACATGCCATTGACCGGAATCGAACCCGGGATCTTTCAGTCCCCAAGCCGACGCTCTATCCATTGAGCCAAACTGGTCCCGGCTGGAATACCCAATTTCTAATGCTCAATATTGCCATTTACTATCTATTTAATAGAGGAATATGCAAATTAGCCGGATGCTATAACATCATGACGTAACAGCAGGGCTTGATAGGGGTCCTCATGCCATGCCCCCCTCCTTAGCATTGGGCGGGGGGACTTGTCGCTGCGCCCCCCACCTGGCACTTGGCCAGAGGACCTGAGGGTCCCTTACCCGGAGGAGCTTGACAGGGGTGGGGCCAGCCAGGTCTGGGTCTCTTGTGTTTTCGAAGCACGTGTGGGTGGTGGGCGGGGACTTCACTGTAGGTCCTACAGCATACCCCAGACTCTGACAGCAGGTAGATTTTCATATACATTTTACTCATTTTCTTTCATCTCTGACACTTGGGAAAATAGCAATATTAAACCATTTCCTCTAACTAATTCCCTTTTAATATACACAAATTTTGTGCACCAGGCCACTAGTCCTATATAATAAAAGCCTAATATGCAAATCAACCAAACATTGGAATTGCTATGATAAACACTGACCACCAGGGGACAGACACTCAAAGCAGGAGCTGCCCTCAGCCCACAGGCCTCAGGCCAGCGAAGGCAAGTGCCAGTGGGACTCCCCTAACCCTTCTCACCCCATTATTCCACCAGTTGCCCCACAGATCTGCCATGATTGCCAGCCTAGGGATCCTACCCATGCATGGGCCTCTAGTAATAAATAAAACACTGGGTTAGACAAAAAGTCCTACCATAATACCTCAGTTAAAAGTAGGCTTTGTGAACATTAATGCTTCTAATTTTTCCTTGGGTGTTCCAGAGGTTTTTAAATAATAATAATATATAACAACAATAGCTAACATTTATAGTACTTAACTATGTGCCAGGCATTGTTTTAATGGCTCATATATAAACTACTCTAATCCTCATGACCTATGAGGTCAATATACTATTTCTCTTTCCCATTTCAAAGACAGAGGTTAAGTAATTTGCCTGTAGTTATAGTGTTGACTCATGGAACTCTAGAGCTAGCCTCTCTAGCCCCAGAGTCACACATTACCCATAATCCTGCAGTATTATTAAGAATGGGTGAGATTTAAAACTTTCTGTTCCAAAGTTGGAGAAGAGCAGTTATTAAAGAGTAGGTGATGTGTTCAGGCAACACAGTTTTAGGAAAGAATGTATACAAAAGTTGAGTATCTGGAAATTGATTCCTTTTAAAGTATAAGTTCCTTACTGCCCTGGCCTGGACGTTTGGCTGGTTGGAGTGTTGTCCAGGTATGCCTGGGTGTGCCTTCAGCCCCAGTCAGGACTTGTGCAAGGGGCAGCCAATGGATGCATGAATATGTGGAACAGTCTGTCCCTCCACCCCCAAACCTCACTCCTCTAAAATCAATAAAGAAAAAAATTTGCAAAAATAAAAATAAAAATACTTTTAACGTATAAGCCCCTTTGTATCCTTTGGAAGGTCTTCAGGTATCCTGAAGAAAATGCTTCTCAGTTTATAGCCACTTACATAGTAATTTTGTTTCCAGTTTATATTCTTAATTTAACTGTGGCTGCTTCATTCTTTAATTATGCTTGTAAAGTTTCTCATGCTATTAACATCATTTTTAATGTTTCATGCAATTGTTAATTGATTCAGTCTAAGTAGGGTATACTCTCATGTACAGTTGGCTAAGAAAAAGGAAGATTTCTACATAGGTTCAGGCCTAGAAAGGTATTTTCTGTAACAGTGTTTTCAACTTAGAAAGAGAAGAAAAATTGAGGTTGCACCAGGTAAAATTTTGGTTCTAATTATGTTCTATTAAGAAGCAGCAGCATAAGACCCAGTAATTCCACTTCTGGGAATTTATCCAATGAAACCCAAAACACGAATTCAAAAGAATGTATGTACCCTTGTGTTCATTGCAGCATTATTTACAATAGCCAATATTTGGAAGCAGCCAGAATGCCCTTCAGTAGATGAGCAGATAAAAAAGCTGTGGTACATCTACATGATGGAGTACTGCTCTGCTGTTAAAGGGAATAGAGTTTTACCTTTTGTGACAGCCTAGATGGATCTGGAGAACATTATGTTAAGTGAAATAAGCCAGTCAGAGAAAGACAAGTTCCATATGATTTTACCCATAATTGGAATTTAATGAACAAACTGAACTTCCAAACAATATAAAGACAGACACATAGGTAAAGAGCAGGCAGACAGCTGTGGGGAGAAGGGGATTGAGCAAAAAAGTAAAGAAAGAACTCATGGACATGGACAGTAGTGTGGTGATGGAGGGTCGGAGGGGGATGGATGGAAGAAGAAGAGGGCATAGAGGGGATAAAGGGTGATGGAAATATTTTAATTTTTAAAAAGAAGAAGCATATTGTCCTGGTGATGTAGCTCAGTTGGTTAGAGTGTTGTCCCCATACACTACCATTTTGGGTTTGCTTGGGACACATACAAGAATCAATCAATGAATGCATAAATAAGTGGAACAACAATCAATCAATCTCTCTCTCTCTCTCTCTCTCTCTCTCTCTCTCTCTCTCTCTCTCATATCAGTACATTAGGAAAAAAGAAGCAGCGTATCACAGTATGAACTCTGAAATGTAATAAACCTGGATTCAAATCCACCACTCCTAAAAGAAGCCTTTTCATATATACCAGTTTTGCTGTTTTCCTTCATGTGTTCCTTTGTGAACTTAGTCTCTGAGCTTTAATTTTTTAATCTGCAAAATGGGGATAATTAAATTTAGATGTAGGCATAATAGTAAAACAAATAATGTAAGTGATTTAATGCAGAGTAAATGTTCACTAAATGACTGCTGTTAGCTGCTATTCTAATATGGGGAGGCGGGGCTGATCAAACAAAGACCAGAATTGCTTTCGATCATTCACAGATTGACTGTGCTATGGAGCGCCTCTACTTCCGCTAACTTAGAAATGTATTTGTTCTGTTTGAGGATTCTGAGAAGTTTTGCTAAAATGCCACCTGCCAAAAAGTGGGTTCATTTTATAAGTTTAAAAATTTATAAAACCATACTGATTCAGTGGTAAAATAGTAAATATTTTTTAAAAATTATAAAATCATACTGATTCAGTGGTAAAACACTATAATATAAATAGTTTATATAAATATTATTAATATATATAACATGTTTATATTAACTCATTTTTAGTGTTTTTATTTCCTTTGTTATATAGCATTTCAGCATTAAGTTCTTTTTATCTCAGAAATGCCACTAATAGAGTCAATATTCATCTTTTAAATTTAGAAGAGATGTAATTTCAGATACAACCTGCTTCTGTAACTAACGTGAGATTATTTACTGATAAGCTGAGCTTTGTGACTTTGGGCTAGGTATTGTACTCACATTGAGTTTTGGTTTCCTTATCTGTACCCATCTCACAAAAGAATTAAGAAAGATAATTTATGTAAAGTATTTAACCTAGTGCCTGACCCATAGGAGAAAGCTTATATTAACGATATAATCCATATTATTGTTATTATTTGAATGATGGTAAGGCTTAAAAAATAGTTCATATAAAGCATCTAAGACAGTGCTTGGTATAATATGTGCTCCATTATAAGAGTCTTTCTTAAATTTTTGCATTTTCATTATGGTTATATACCTTTTTAAAAGGTATTCATTGTGAATATTAATTGCTTCAGTATCCATGAACTAAATATGGCATATAATAACTAAATTTTTAAAAATGATGTAAATGTATTTTTTTCTTTAGCTTCCAGAGCAGTTGTAGCACAGCATGTTGCTCCACCTCCAGGAATAGTGGAAATAGATAGTGAGAAGTTTTCTTGTCAGTGGTAAGTGGTTTATTTCTACTAAGGCTTTATCTTTGGGAAGAATAAAGCAAAAGAAAAAAGGAAATGTATTTCAGCAGACATCCTTTTCAGTTAGAATAGAATATCTTTTATACAAAGAATGGGCAATGTAAAACCACTTCACCTGTATTTTGGAATTATTTGAAAGAAAAATATTTATCAAAATCTTCAGAATTATAGTAGTCTTTGACTAGAATTTTATTAAATTGCACCACCTAATTTCAGAGTAAAATTTGTGTTAAAAAGCTATCTTTGACTTTGTAGAAAATAAAGTTTGTCAGATTGTAGAATTTGTTTTTTTTTAAAGATTTATTAAACTAAATTGGATTGACATTAAGAAAATAAAACCACATTTTGTTAAGTGTCTTATCTTTTTCATCAAAAGCAAAACTTATTCATTGTTAGTTAATTTTTTCTTTTTGTGCGTAAGGGGAAACTAATCAAATGATAGACTAGCCAGTTTGTCTATATTGAAATGAGCAACTTTGAAAATAATATTTTCTTGAGATGATTGAGTAGTTATATCTCAGCCATTTTCTGAAGGAAAAATAAAAAAGTTCTATTTCATTTTGTCTTGGATAGTTGCCTCTACATTATTTATGAATTTTAACTTAAATTATTTAGAAGATTAACAGATTGAAATGAAGATTATTTTCCTGTGAAGTATTACTTTTAAAACTTTTTTTCCTTGACCCCTTTCTCTATTCTCCAACATTATTTGTTTCTCATTCCATACTATGTCACTCTGTGTTCCATATTTTTGGTGCTTTCATATCTTTGTTCCTATGACAATTTTCTCTAGACTTTTCTACTTTACTTAAATCAGGTTTATGGTTTTAAATATTTCTAATTATTTGCTTTCCTCCGGTTCTATATAGTTATACCATTACCCTTTATACTTGATGAATCTCTTCCAATAATGTTTGGAAATATTTGTCTTCTACATTGAAACTAAAAAAAGTTTTTTGTGTCTAGTTGTTTTGAAAACTCTGTACTCAAAGATTTATGAAAATTGAAAAAAAAAATATGTTTCACATCTACTATAAAATGTGTGGTATTAGGTATAAATTTGGTCTTATAAATCTCAGTTGCATATTGCTGCCACTTCTGGGGGGAGGAGGAGAAACTCATTTTACCATTATTTTATCATACTTATTTGATGCAGTTTACAAGAAACAGTTGTAAGTTGTCCTGTTGTATGTATAAGTCCTAGAAAGAGTAACTAGGCCTTCAATCCTAACTTGTAGGTAGAAATTGCTTTATGAAAAAGAAAAACTGAAGTTTGAAATAATCTATAAGAATAGATTTTTCTGAAGTGGGGAATGAGAGTGTATAGCAATAGCTCATAATTGGGAACTTCTGTTATATTTTGATTATTACAAAACGGGGAGCTATATATATATTCACTAAATAAAACCCTTTGTTGCAGAATATTTGTTGCCAACATACCAAATCTGTTCTCGCTAGAATATTTACAGTTTTTATTTTGTTGTTAATGATTTTTACACTAAAATAAGTATGATTAAATAGTTAATCTCTTTATTTGATTTAGTCTGTCTAAAAGCTAGCATATATTTTTGCTAATAATATATAAAGCAGTAAAATTTGACTAGGCATAATTATTAGTTTATAATACGTTGCCTTCAAATGGTTGTAGCATACTTAAATATAGAGTCTCCTATAGTGTATTGCATAATGCAATTTATTTTTCTCTTTTAGGCTAAATGCTCATTTTGAAGTAAATCCAGATTGTTCTGTCTCTCGAGCAGAAATGTATTCTGAGTACCTCTCAACTTGCAGTAAATTAGCTCGTGGTGGAATCCTAACATCAACTGGATTTTATAAATGTCTTAGGTAGGATACATAGTTCTTAACTTTATGTAAAGTTAATTTCCATCACTTACAACTCTTATTGTTCTTGAGAAAATGCCATATATAATTTTAAATATTTCTACTACTTAAAATTTCTTATGGTCAGGTTGTAGTATGGTGGAAGTTTAAATACGAGGGAATTTTGGACATCACATCTGGTGTTTATGTTTGAACATTATGAGGTTTATCAAAGAAAGGAAAAAATTCATAAAATAGTCATTGCCTAGATGCAGCTTTTTTATTAATTATATATGCAATAGAACTGTTTAAAACCCAACAATGTTAATAAATGATTATTTTAAAAACTGGAGAATTGATCTTTTATATTTCTTTCTCTGCTTCCCACCCTTGCAGAATATATCTGTTTGAATCACACTGGTTCATACTTAAGTAGCAATGAATATATTGCTGCTGTTGTGTAAACATCATTGAAGTTAGTGTTTTTTGCTTAGTGTGCTAGTAATCAAAGCTGAGTATTGTGTGCTTTACAGAACTGTGTTTCCAAATCATTCAGTGAAGAGAGTGGAGGATTCCAGTAATAGTGGGCAGGCGCATATTCATGTCGTAGGAGTAAAACGGAGGGCTATACCACTTCCCATTCAGATGTACTATCAGCAGCAGCCAGTTTCTACTCCTGTTGTTCGTGTTGATTCTGTTCCTGATATATCTACAAGTCCTTTACCTGCAGGTAACAATTTTTACTGTTTTAAATATTACCACGTTAATGAAATGTATATTGTATACATTAAAATGTATAACTTTTCCTTGTTTTTCCAGTAGCATTTTCTGTTATTTAATCATATGATGCAAAGTTGTCAGATATTAATTCCTTAAAACTATTTTTTCATCTTAAGTAAAATAATTCCTACATTCCTTTTCAGTCATTCATTATAAAGTTTGACTTTTCTACTATATTTTCAGGAATCCCTCATGGACCACAAACTGTAGGAAACCATTTTCAGAGGACTCCTGTTACCAATCAATCTTCAAATTTGACTGCAACACAAATGTCTTTTCCTGTACAAGGTGTTCATACTATGGCACAGACTGTTTCAAGAATTCCACCAAATCCTTCAGTTCATACCCACCAGCAACAAAATGCTCCGGTGACTGTCATTCAAAATAAAGCTCCAATTCCTTGTGAAGTTGTTAAGGCTACAATGATCCAGAATTCTATACCCCAGACAGCAGTTCCTGTTAGTATTGCTGTGGGAGGAGGAGCTGCACAGAGTTCTGTAGTTCAGAATCATAGTACAGGGCCACAGCCTGTTACAGTTGTAAATTCCCAGACATTGCTTCATCATCCATCTGTAATTCCACAACAGTCTCCATTACACACCGTAGTACCAGGGCAGATACCTTCTGGCACTCCTGTTACTGTAATTCAACAAACTGTCCCACAAAGTCATATATTTGGCAGAGTACAGACCATGCCAGCATGTACTTCTACAGTTTCACAGGGTCAACAGTTGATCACCACGTCACCCCAACCTGTGCAAACTTCATCTCAACAGACATCAGCTGGTAGCCAGCCACAAGACACTGTCATCATAGCACCCCCACCGTATGTAACAACTTCTGCATCTAATATTGTCTCAGCAACTTCAGTACAGAATTTTCAGGTAGCTACAGGACAAATGGTTACTATTGCTGGTGTCCCAAGTCCACAACCCTCAAGGGTAGGGTTTCAGAACATTGCACCAAAACCTCTCCCTTCTCAGCAAGTTTCATCAACAGTGGTACAACAGCCTATTCAACAACCACAGCAGCCAGCCCAACAAAGTGTAGTGATTGTAAGCCAGCCAGCTCAACAAGGTCAGACGTATGCACCAGCCATTCACCAAATTGTTCTTGCTAATCCAGCAGCTCTTCCAGCTGGTCAGACAGTTCAGCTAACTGGACAACCAAACATAACTCCATCTTCCTCACCATCACCTGTCCCAGCTTCTAATAACCAAGTCCCTACTGCCATGTCATCTTCTTCCACCCCTCAAACACAGGGACCACCTCCTACTGTCAGTCAAATGCTATCTGTGAAAAGACAGCAGCAGCAGCATTCACCAGCACCTCCACCTCAGCAGGTACAAGTACAAGTTCAGCAGCCACAAGTACAGATGCAAGTTCAACCACAGCAAACAAATGCAGTTGGTCAGCCTGCTTCTGGTGAGTCAAGCCTGATAAAACAGTTGCTGCTTCCAAAACGTGGTCCTTCAACTCCAGGTGGTAAGCTTATTCTCCCAGCTCCACAGGTTCCTCCCCCTAATAATGCAAGAGCTCCTAGCCCTCAGGTGGTATACCAGGTGGCCAATAACCAAGCAGCAGGTTTTGGAATGCAGGGGCAAACTCCAGCACAGCAGCTGTTAGTTGGGCAGCAAAATGTTCAGTTGGTCCAAGGTGCAATGCCTTCCACAGGAGGAGTGCAAACTCTGCCCATCCCGAATTTACAAATATTGCCAGGTCCACTGATCTCAAATAGCCCAGCAACCATTTTCCAAGGGACTTCTGGCAACCAGGTAACCATAACAGTTGTGCCAAATACAAGTTTTGCAACTGCAACTGTGAGTCAGGGAAATGCAACTCAGCTAATTGCTCCAGCAGGAATTACCATGAGCGGGACCCAGGCAGGAGTTGGACTTCAGGTGCAAACACTTCCAGCCAGTCAAGCATCTCCAGCTGGACAATCATCTTGTACTACTGCTACTCCCCCATTCAAAGGTGATAAAATAATTTGCCAAAAGGAGGAGGAAGCAAAAGAAGCAACAGGTTTACATGTTCATGAACGTAAAATTGAAGTCATGGAGAACCCGTCCTGCAGACGAGGAACCATGAACACCAGCAATGGGGATACAAAAGAAAATGAAATGCAGGTGGGAAGTCTTTTAAATGGGAGAAAGTACAGTGACTCAAGTCTACCTCCTTCAAACTCAGGGAAAATTCAAAGTGAGGCTAATCAGTGCTCACTAATTAGTAATGGGCCATCATTAGAATTAGGTGAAAATGGAGCATCTGGAAAACAGAACTCAGAACAAGTGGACATGCAGGATATCAAAAGTGATTTGAGAAAACCTTTAGTTAATGGAATCTGTGATTTTGATAAAGGAGATGGTTCTCATTTAAGCAAAAACATTCCAAATCACAAAACTTCCAATCATGTAGGAAATGGTGAGATATCTCCAATGGAATCACAAGGGACACTAGATGCCACTCAGCAAGATACTGCCAAAGGTGATCAACTAGAAAGAATTTCTAATGGACCTGTATTAACTTTGGGTGGTTCACCATCTGTGAGCAGTATACAGGAGACTTCAAATGTGGCAACACAGCAATCTAGTGGTACTGACTTGCCTAATGGACCTCTAACTTCAAGTTTGAATTCAGATGTGCCTCAGCAACGCCCAAGTGTGGTTGTCTCACCACATTCTACAACCTCTGTTATACAGGGGCATCAAATCATAGTTCCCCACTCAGGATCGAGAGTGTCCCATTCTCCTGCCCTACCATCTGATGTTCGGTCTACAAATGGCACAGCAGAATGCAAAACTGTAAAGAGGCCAGCAGAAGATAATGATAGGGAAACAGTCACAGGAATTCCAAATAAAGTAGGCGTTAGAATTGTTACAATCAGTGACCCCAACAATGCTGGCTGCAGTGCAACAATGGTTGCTGTGCCAGCAGGAGCAGATCCAAGCACTGTAGCTAAAGTAGCAATAGAAAGTGCTGTTCAGCAAAAGCAGCAGCAGCCACCGTCATACGTACAGAATGTGGTCCCACAGGTAAGTCATTCTACTATTACATTGCTCTTTTAAAAATTCTGATCTGGAAATACTATTTTAAGGGAAAATATACTGTTTTTCTGTCTCGAAGTGTTAAGTGTCAGCTTATCAATATACTCAAGCTGTTGTGCTCTTTTGTTTTTCTCTGTTTTTTTGTAATGTTAAAACAGTTTTCAATTGTTAAACCTGTGTGCTACAAGAGGAACACTGGTGGCCTCCAAGAATTTTTAAAACATGTAATACCTAACTATTTAGTCAGGAGCACTGATCCCTTTTCCCTTAGATTATAAATTAAAAAATGAAAACGGCCTACACAATAGTTGTCTGGTGTGAATGAATCAAATTTATAACTATTCTTTTGTCAAATAAGTTGCAGAATTTTAGTAATTAGTATATATATGTGCCATGAGATGAAAGAGGTTGAAAATCACTGACTTAGCATATAGTTTAAATATTTAATAAATAGAATATGCTAATTAACCCTCACCTTTGTAAATTTGGCAGTGCTCATAGCCAATAAGGAGGGGATATGCTAATTGACTGTCACACCCTCAAAAGTAGTTGCACCCACAGCCACAAGATGGCCACACCCAGTCCCCTCAGCCCCGCTGGGGCGGCAGGTGTGTGGCAAGGCTGGGCCCGCCCTGTGCTCCTGCTTTGGAGTCCCCCAGTCCCTTCAGCTCCTCAGCTCCCCAGTACCGGCCTGAGGTGCAGGTAAGCCTTGGATGGCAGCAGCCGCCCAGGGCCAGCTGAGGCTTTCGCTGCCAGCAGTGGCAGCGGCAGAGGTGTGATGGAGCATCGCCTTCCCCTGATTGCCGGGTCGCCTCCTGCCCCTGAGGGCTCCCGGATTGTGAGAGGGAGCGGGCTGGGCTGAGGGATCCCCCCTCCAGTGCATGAGTTTTCATGCACGGGGCCTCTAGTTTTGTTATAAATCCAAATTAGTAATTCTATAGACCCAAGGTGGAGAAGCACTTGTAATCTAATCTTTTGGAGAATTTTTAAAGTGTAATTGTCTCTTGGAGTTTGGGGTGGGGTAGGGTTACTGCTAAGAGTACCCCAAAAGGGAATTTCTGTATTTGATTTTGACATGTGTGGGCTTTTTAAAGCTCTTTTCATAGTACTTCTGTAAAAAGGATAAATCTCATAAGAATTATCAAGTGTGTTCTTGTTATATTTATGTACTGAATCAATAATCTTTGTTTTTTAAAAATATATTATTTAGTAGTATAATTTCAGCTATTTTATATTTTTAATTTTGTGTTTCTTATTCCCTTGCTCTATTGTCATGTTTCTGCTCTTCCCTTTTTAATATCTTCTATTCCATCTGCATGTCTTTGTAAAGAAATGTATTTTCTAGGTCAGTGCTACTATATTGAGGGTTCAATTAGCCTATAAAGACTTTAAGGATAATCCTGTAAGCTGTTTCTACCAAAACTAGGGATTCACTTAACAGTTGTCTCTCACCTATTTCCTGTATCACTTCTCCTTCACTCTTTCTTTCTTAATTATTACTACATAGCCAGAACCTTCTGTGACTTGCCAACTCGACTAGCACTCTTCTGGCTTGGGTTTCTTCTCTGTGCTTATGGTGATGATAGCAGATCTGTAGTCATTGTTAGCATTAATACTAAACCTAAGTGTGGGGAAAGGAGAGGAAGCAAAAAAAAAAAAAAAAAAAAAAAAAAAAAAGATGAAAGAATAGCCTAGCTAGTTTGGCTCAGTGGATAGAGCAGTGACCTGCGGACTGAAGGTTCCCAGGTTCGATTCTGGTCAAGGGATATGTCCAGGTTTTGGGCTCAATCCCAATATGAGGCGTGCAGAGGCAGCCAATCAATGATTCTCTCACATCATTGATTTTTCTATCTATCTCTTCCACTCCCTTCCTCTCTCTGAAATCAATAAAAATATACTTAAAAAAAAAAAAAGATGAAAGATCAGAGGATCCCTTTCTTCAGAATATGAAGTTCATTCATAATATGTATCTTTGTTCATGTGAATGGATAAAGCTGGACAGTGCTGTTCTGGAGTCATAATGAGACTAATCCATATGTTAGTATTGTTCAGATGTATTTCAAGGTACCTAAGTACTTTAATTATTCCTTAGTGGATGTTATGAACATGGCAATAATTAATATTGAGTTTGGGTAGAAAATATTAAATCATCTTTACTCAAACTTCTACAAATTGAGTTTTATATTAAACACTAAAAAAATGTTAGTGTAATGTCTAGCATGTAGTAAACATTCAATTAGTTGGGTTTTTATAGTTTTATTTAATCTCCCAATTCATCTTGATTATGTGCCTGCTGTATATTCCTTGTATATTCCTTTATAATCCTAAATAGTTACTATAGAGTAAGCCAAATTAGAGAAAAACTGCATTACTGTGAAATTGTTTCAATACTTATTTTTTGTATCTTCAATCTTTCAATGTGGTTATATTCCATAATGAAACCTAAGTAACAAAAACAATAATACTATATAAGACCAGAACCTGTGCTAGGAACTTTGGACTAAAGCATTTTCTCATTTAATCTTCACAACTCTAATAGTTAAGAATTTTAATTATATTTTAGAGATGAGGTCCTGGATGTAAATAAGTCACCCACGGTCACTGCCATGTTGACCTCATATTATTGTTCACCACAAATACCAAGTGGTACAAGGACTGAAAGCTGAGTGTGTCTGAAACCAAGACTCATTTCTCCATTATTCTAAAAGGTTCCTTTTTTTAAAGTTCTAGAAAGCCCTTTTATATCTAACATACTCATTAATTGAACTATTATGATATAGGATGTGATTACCATTAAATGATAACTTTAGAACATTAATGCTAAAATGCTTAATATCAATAGATTGGATTTACATGCATCTTAATTCGAGCCATAAAAGTCATCCATTTGTTCCTAATCTGGGTTTAAATTGTAGTGTATTTCTAAAATTGGCATTTGGTTGGCATGTAAAAACTTAAAAATTTGCTAGGAAAAAGAGACATACACATGTTGTCTATGAGAATGAGAGTAAAAACTAAGCATTCTTATGCGTAGTACTTAGCACACTGCCTGCTACATAGGCACTCAGTAATGGTGCAGGTAATATTTTATCTTCCTCTATAGGATACTGTTCAAGATGACATTATAGGTTTCTTTTGAAGGATAGACTGTTGGGCCTTCTTAAGAGCCTGCTAATAGCTCTGACTGGGTAGCTCAGTTGGCTAGAGCATCATCCTGATAACACCAAGGTTGTGGGTTCGATCCCCAGTCAGGGCACATATGGTAAGCAACCAATAAATGGAACAGCAAATTGATGTTTCCCTTTCTCTCTCCCTCTCCCTTTCTTCTCAGTCTCTAAAAGCAATACAATAAAAATTTTTTTTAAAAGAGTCTGCTAAGAGAAAACCATTTTCATTGTTACTCAGATTCTTTACATTTCTTTATATACTCTTAAAGTTGCATTTTAGACCTTGGTTTAACACCATTTTACATTTGAATTGGTTCCTTAATAGAGTAGATGAAATAGAGGATTTTGAATGTGATTTTTTTTAAATTTTTTTTTTTTATTAAGCTAAACATTATTTTCACAAGTTTAAGGGATCTGGAGATGTTAAAGAGGCATCTGGACCCCAAGAAAGGATTTCCAGATTTGCAGAATGCTTGGGTGTAGAAAGACTACAGGAAAATGACCCTGCTGAGAATGGCCAACAGCTAATCTTTTCTAATAAATACCATTGTTACTTCATTTTTGAGTTTATTCCTTCTCCTATTAATCAGCTGCATTAATTTAATTTCAGGAAAAATTTAGCAATAGAGAACAATATATGAAAGTAAATTGTATGATCATAGACTTTGTATTTCAGTAGTATTTTAAATGAGTAATTTATATAAATACAAAATAAATTATATTTACTTCAAGGCAACATTTTTATTCATAGTTACTTAATTTCATTCTGTTATAGTTGCTAGTTAGATACTGTTTCTCAAAATCCTGTCCTCTTCCGCTCTTTAGGAATTGGTATCTTCTGAAGCTATAAGAAAAAGGAAAAAGGAATTGAAAAACAAAACAAATTTTAGTTTACAAATACTTACCTAAAGACTTGTCTTTCTCAGGAGCATGTAAAGCACATATTAAACATGCGTAAATATTAATTTCATGGTGTGATGATATGCCAAATTCTTGTATGTAAAAATAGTTTACTTAAAGAATGTTCCTATTTCAAGTCTTTTTATATGTTGCTTCCAGTTCCCTGTCCTTCACACATGAATCTTTCCTAAATTGGTACTGTGTAAACTGAATATTGATATCTTCCTGGTTCCTTTCTTTCTTTGTGTATTAAATTTCTATGTATTCTCCTCAAGAATGGAATTTATTGAAAATTGCAACATTCTTTATTTCTAAAATTGGTATTTGGTTGGCATATAAAATTTTGAACTTAAAAAGTTACTCAACCCATCAGCAAGCAGATCTGTAGCCTGAAAGGGCAGCATAAATCACTTTAGCAAGAATCAGGAGAATAAGATTTGGGTTTTATTTAGAGTACTGGTGTTCGAATTTGTAGACCAGGAGCACATAACTAAGCAAGGCATTACCACTAAACAGTTTTTTTTTTTTTTTTGTATACAGCTCAGTTGTATTCTTATAAGAAAGGCTTGGAATGTATTAACTAGATTTATATTTTACAAGAGAAAAAAAAATCATAGTTTAAGAAAATGAGGGAATATTTAAGCAGAAAAAGCCTGAGATGTTATCTTGTACAGAATCCTCATTTTTAAGCGTTGAAGTAAATTTCCCACCCACACACAGAACATCTGTTTCCCATGAGTTCTATTGTTGTCGTAATTCTGTCTTAAAGATCTGTACGTTTAGACAAAGTTAGAGTAAATCTATTTCTTCTTCCCTACAAGGATTTACAACTATCTTTTCTTCACTTTTAGAATGCACTTTCCTAGTTCCTTCAGTTAGATCTTAGATATCCTAGTGTCTGGTTTATTCGTCATCTTATTTACCTCAACCAGTTTCATTTTATAAATGATTTCAAACTGAACAAAGTATGTGTCTAGTATTTAATAAAGAATTTATTTTGAGAAAAATAGATATGGCTATAGTTTTTCTAACAGATTTAAATGTTAAAGTTTTAGAATAGTCTAAATTTATTTTAAGTTAAATTTATTTTAAAGTTTAATATTAATAAGAAAGTAAGGATTTAAGAGCCTGATATTCCAAGTTTTATATCAGGAAATAGTGTAACCAAGAATTTTCAGCCATAATTTACTCTTGAAAAGGTGATAAAGGAAAAAAAGATTATAATTTCTTGTTTTAACAAAAAGCGATATGTTTGCTAACACACACACACACACACACACACACACACACACACCTGCTACATTAACATTTTATGTTAACTTTACGTACACAGAAATCACAGAATTGTTTCAAATCTGTTGTGTAATTTTACTTTTCTGGTCACTCACTGTGGGAGTGCCTTTTCTGTCTTGATTAAAAGAAGAAACTAATAGTAAAAATTAGCTCTTTCTCAACAGAGTAGAGCATTGATATAGAATATTCTTCAAGTGTAACCATTCCAAAAAAAATCACTTTGAAATCTACTTTACATTTACATTTCAGTTAAGGATGCATTAATGATTTGGTAAGTCACTGCAAACAAGAATATAAAGAAAAAGTAAACTTTTATATCCCAAAAGAAACATATTTTGCATTCTTATGTAAACAACCTACTTCTTAAAACAGAATTTAAGTTGTACTTTGAAAAATATGCAGTACAATACATTGTCAGATGCATGTTTCCAGCATTAATTTGTGTTGATTTGTAGTTGGTGATCTGTCACTGTCCCCAAAGTAAAATCAATCATCTTTCCTCCAAAATTTTATTTCCCTTCTGGACTTCTCTATTAGAATAATAATAATAGTAACACTTGCCATTTATTGAGAATCTAGAGCTAGGCTCTTCGTGTATAATTTCTCTAGTCTTCCCATCATCTCATAAGACAGATTTTATTGCTTACACTTTATAGATGAGGGAACTGAGGTTCAGAGAGAATAAGTAGGTTGCCCAAGGTCACAAAGCTAGTTAAAAGGCATATTGATGGAATAACATAAACTGATGTACAAAAGCAGATCCAGAGACAGAAACACCAATCAGATGCTCAAACCTCAGAGGAAAAGTAGGGGAGGGAGGGAGAAAGGGGGAGAGCACAACCAAAGGACTTGTATGCAAGCATATAAACATAACTAATGGACACAGACACCAGGGGGTGAGGGCATGAATGAGAGTGGGGTAAGGGGTACGGGGGATAAGGGCACATATGTAATACCTTAATCAATAAAGGGGAAAAAAGGCATATTGAAATTTAAGATCTGATCTGGAAAGCTGGAAAGTTCACATCTTATCCATGACTCACCTGCATTGCCCTAACATGCGTGTTTTTCATGCATTCTTAAGGGTAAGACTCTATTATAGAAACAATTTCATCATATCCCAAAAGTGGATTGTTTCTCCTTTGAGCTTGGAACTCACAATATTGTATGAATTTACATTTCTGAGAACTTTTTCAACATTTTATTTTCTTTCTAACTTTTATGGTATATAGCCTTATATGTTAGTGTTTTGCCTATTTTTTTAAGTTATTATGACTTTTTAATCTGAGACTTTCAGAGATTTTAAACTAAATTTTACCCATCCATTTCCAATATTTCCTAATAAACAAGTACATTTTCTCAGTTTAAATTTATTGACTTTAAAGAGTGCTTTGAAAATGTTGTGCCACCATTTCTAGGAGAAATTTGATATTATTTTTCCATTTGTTATTTTATAAATGAAATCTGAGTTAAGTATTCAAAGAAAATGTATCACCTCAAATTCTTTTAAGCTACATTATAATTATTTACCTATATATTTTTCAGAGAGAAAGGGATGTGATATAGAAAGGCAGGGGAAATACCTTATATTTAAAAGGCTAATACCTACAATTAGGATCCTTTCGATTGTATTATTCATCAAAAGTATAACTGAGCAACTTTAAAAACTAAAGTTGTTAGTTAAACAGCTTACTATAAAATAATATTGACAACATTTTACTTAAATGGTTACATTAGTATTTTTTTATTCTGAAATTTTCTTTGCTTTCTACTGTACACTGTTTTTGCCACATTTATTACAAAATCTAAAAGGAAATATGCAGAGAAATAATAATTTGTAGTTGATTTGTTCTTGTGAAGAATATGCGTAAGTAAGTCAAATGGGTGCATTTATAGTCATCTTAATCTATAATCGTGTGTTGCTACCTAATTTATTAATATAAAAAATCTTAATTCTAAATAATGTATATTCTATAACAATAACAACAATGTGATCTTGCCTCTGTAGTCAAGTGAAATAAAGGAATCTGACTTCCTAAATATTTCTGTAAAAATAGCTATCTTTTAAAATCATTTTTTAAATTAAAAAAAAATACTTTTAAAAGATAGTCATTAAAACTACAAATGTAAATTTTATGTTAGAAGTGCACAACTATCAACATAATCAAACTTAGAAGCTTATACTATAAGATATGGATGTTTTCTAATGTCATCTCACAAATCATGCGGTTGTGCTTTTCCACAGAACACTCCTATGACGCCTTCACCAGCTGTACAAGTGCAGAACCAGCCTAACAGTTCTCAGCCTCCTCCATTCAGTGCATCTAGTCAACATGGGGATTCAGTGAGAAAACCTGGACACAACTTCATGTGTCTGTGGCAGTCTTGTAAAAAGTAAATGGCAATTTTATTTGATATACATAAATGTTCTTTGTTTTAGAATGCTTTTACATTCCAATTTCTGTCATCTATAGTTTATGAAAATTTTCTTTTTAAACCATTTTTAACAAAAATATTTTATGCTAATTTAAGAGTGATGCTTATGTAGATCCAGTGGCACCTAAGCTAAGAAATTTATATAAATATCGGGAAGGGCTTCAATGGTAGGCTATTAGGGAATGTGTTTCAATATTAGTTTTTTTGTTTGTTTTTATTTTTTTTGTCCTAGCATCTGACATACCGTATTTTCTGGCGTATAAGACGACCCCCTAATTTTACAGTTAAAACATAGGTTTAGGCCTATATTCGCTATATAAGACTACCCCCCACTTCCGAGGCAACACCAGTTCTTTTTTTAATAGACCACCTCTCTGACTTTGGCCAATCTGAGCAGTCTTTTTACTAGAATACAGTGTAGCTTCGGGTACAGAACATGTATAATTTGCATGCATAAAAAGCCTGCTTGGATTAGCTGAGTTAGAGAGGCGGTCTATTAAAAAAAGAACTGGTGTTGCCTCGGAAGTGGGGGGTAGTCTTATACAGCGATATAGGCCTAAACCTATGTTTTAACTGTAAAATTAGGGGGTCGTCTTATACGCCGGAAAATACGTATGTTAATACCAGATGTAAGTCATGTTATTTCTAACAAAGTAATTTGCAGAAATTCATTATTATGTTTGTTTGATTTTGTTTTTTAATTCATTTCATTTAATTATATTTTTTATTTTTAAATTATAGTTGATGTACAATATTACTTTCTGATTTACAACTGCATGATTAGACACTTATATAATTTATGAAGTGATCACCCTAATAAACGTAGTACCCATCTGACACCATATATAGTTATTATAACATTATTGATTATATTCCGTATGCTGTATTTTATTTCCCTGTGTCTATTCTATACCAATTTGTACTTCTAAATCCCTTTACCTTTTTACCTAAGCTCCCTCCCCTTTGACAACCCTCAAAATATCCTGCATATCTATGAGTCTGTTTCTATTTTGCTTGTTATTTTGTTTTTTAGATTCCACATTTGTGAAGTCATCTGGCATTTGTCTGTCTTTGTCTGACTTATTTCAGTCAGCACAATACCCTCTTGTGTGGATCCATGTTGTTGTGGATCCATGTTGTTGTGGATCCATGTTGTGGATGGCAAGATTTCATTCTTTTTTATGGTTGAATCATATTCCATTTTAAAGGGTGGGGTAAAAGGGTTATAGTTGTGAAAATGCAAAAGAATTTATTCTTATATTTTTATTTATTAATTATTTTCCATATGAACAACCATAAAGCTATTTTTACCCTACCCTATTTATATGCATCACTTCTTTATCTGTTTGTCTATTGATGGACACTTAAGTTGCTTCCATATTTTTGCTATTATAAAAAATGTTACAATAAACATATAAATATATGTTTTTTTGATTTAGTATTTTAGGTTTCTTTGAATAAACACCCAGAAGAGGAATTGCTGAACTTTTTTTTTCTCTTATAGTCTTTGCTTAAAATTTATTTTGTCTGGTGTAAGTTTTTTTGTTTGTTTGTTTGTTTGTTTGTTTGTTTCCATTTTCATGAAATAACTTTTTCCATCCCCTTGCTTTCAGTCTGTGTCTTTCCAGCTGAAATGAGTCTCTTGTAGACAGCATATGTAAGGGTTCTATTTTCTTTTCCATTCAGTCACCCTAAGTCTTTGGAGCATTTAATCCATTTGATTTGCACTTAAAGTAATTGTTGTCCTGGCTGGGTAGCTCAGTTGGTTAGAGTGTTATCGTAATACACCAAGGTTGCAGATTCAGTCTTGTTCAGGGTACATACAAGAAGCAGCCAGTGAGTGAGTAAATAAGTGGAACAACAAATTGGTGTTTTTCTCCCTGGATGTCTCTCTCTTTCCATTCCTCTCTTTCTCTAAAATCAGTAAATAAAAGTTATTAACTGTTGGTAGATATGCACTTATTTCATTTCATTCATATTTTTAATCATTTTCTTAATGAGACACTTTAATATGTCTTACACACTAGTTTGTTGGTGATGAATCCCTTTAGCTTTAGATTCATATCTAGGAAGCACTTTATGTGTGCTTTGATCCTAAATGATAGTTTTGCTGGGTAATCTTGGTTGCTTTTCATCATTTTGAATATTTTTGCCAGTTCCTCTACCCTGCAAAAGTTTTTGTTGATAAATCAGCTGACAGTCTTATGGGAGCTCCTTTGTAGGTAACTAACTGCTATTCCTTGCTGCTTTTAAGATTCTCTTATCTTTAACCTTTGCCTTTTTAATTATGATGTGTCTTAGTATGGGTCTCTTTGGGTTCATCTTATTTTGGACTCTGTGCTTATTGGAGTTGTATCTCTATTCTATTCACCAGCTTAGGGAAGTTTTCTTGTCATGTTTTAAAATAGGTTTTTAGTTTCTTGCTCCTCTTTCTTTTTTCCTTCTGCCATCCCATGATGTGAATGTTGATACACTTGACGTTGTCCCAGAGGCTCCTTATAGTATCCTCATTTTGGGGGAATCTTTTTCTTTTTGCTGTTCTGATTCAGTGTTTTTTTTTTTTTGCTTCCTCATATTCCAAATCATTTGTTTGATTCTCTGTTTCATCTACTCTACTATTGATTCTCTGTAATGTATTTTTTATTGTGTTATTCGCTTCTGAATGGTGCTTTTAAAAAATGTTTTCTATCTCCATTTTTGTTTCCTATCTCTTTGTTGAAGTTCTCACTAAGTTCATCTATTCTTCCCCCACTTTAATTGAGCATCCTTAAACCAGTGTTTTGAACTCATGAGTCTGCATCTGATATAGATTCTATGTTTCCATCTTGTTTAGTTCTTTTTCTGAGGTTTTGTTCTGGTCTTTAATTTGAGACATATTTCTTTGTCTCCTCATTTTGGTTTCCTGTCTGTGTTTGTGTCTTTGTGTAGGTAGAGCTGCTATGGCTCTAGTCTTGGTACAGTCTAGAGCCATAGCAGCTCTTGGTACTACCTGATGTAGTAGGTATCCTGTAGGTGAGGCTCAGCCTCCCTGGTCTCCTGAACTGGGTGCTCCCAAATGTGTCCTCCATGTGAGCTGTGCACACCCTGCTGTTGTAATTGTGCCTTGATTATTGTTAGCACATCAATGGGAGTGATTTACCCCCAGACTGACCCCACAGAGCAGAACGCTCTTTTGCAGGTCTCAGGTACCCAATGAGTCTACCCAAGTTTGTTGATCATGGAGGTGGTGGGAGTTGTTTCAGCATGGTTTGAAGCTGTCTGTTGGGTACATTGGATCAGTACCTCTTGAGATGTGGAAGCCAATGTCAGCCCTTGCTTATGCCCTGCCCAGGGCCATTGGACATGAGCTTCAAAATGATCTGCAGCTGGCTACTACTTGTGATGGGCTTGGAGGTGTCTGGAAGATGTCAAGCTGTGAAACAAGAGTGCTAGTACCAGGCCTGGGATTACTTAGCAAAAGGTAGAGTTATGCAGAGGGCAGATGCTGCTTGTTTGAGATATTTTAGGAAAGTCTTTTAGGAAAATTGGCAGCACGAGCCAAGACAGGCTTCTGTATGAAATAGTCTGAAGGACATGGGTGGACCCAAAAGTTGAGTTGGGTGGGGTCTCAAGCAGTCATCAGGGTGGGGCTAACTATTAAATTAATCAGGTTGATGGAGATTCAGAAATAGTACCTGCCTTTGGGCTCTTTGGGGGAAGAGCTCAGAAAAGGAACAATGTCCTGTGCCAGCACTTCTGTCTGGGAGAAAGTTGCCCCTCCAGCTTTTGACCTGATTCCAAACAGTTCAGTTCATCCCGTATGTCCTCATACTTTGAGGGGGGCCAGCCCATTCTGCATGTCTTTCCCTCCTATCAGTCTCAATGTACTTTTAATTCTCTGTACTTTTAAATGAGTATTTCTGTTCAGATAGATTTCAGGTGGTTCTGAAATGGTGGTTCTGTGGTGTAGTTGTAAATTTGATGTGGTTATTGGAGATTATTAGTACTGCATCGCCATCTTGACGGGAAGCAAGGTGTTAGTTTTCAACAAGTGAATCTGATTTTTTTTGTTTGGCTATGAAAAGAGATAGGTTTTTTTTTAAAAAGTGACTATGAGTTAGTGGACACTGAAGAATTTCTATATATTGAAACTTAAAGTTAATAATCTGTTAGGAAAAATGGCTTGTTTTAAATTTGATAAAAACAAAATCTTAGTTCCTTTAACCATACTCAGCCAAAACCTTTGACATGTCACATTTTAGAGTTCTAAGACTAATGTACTTGTCTTATTGAAATAATACTTCTCATCTTTTAGATATCCAATATGCTCTTTCACTTTTTCTGATAGCAGAAATCAGATAATTTTAAAAATTAGATTTGCTCTTCATAATATTAGACTTTGTATTTCATTGAACTTCATATACAGATTTGTTGTAGGATTGTGGCTATCAATGTAGCCCAGGGATTGTTAACAGTATGCAAAATTTCTTTGGACAGTGTTTCTCATCTTAAAATCTCAACCCAGAAGTGGGGTCATGAGATCATCTTGTTCAGTCTCTACCAGTAAGTTTTTGTTTCTTTCCTTTGCAATTAACAAATGAATGAAATATATCAGAATCTATTTATGTTAGTAAAGGTAAGTATTGTTTCTAGTTAAATAAGTATATTACGTGTGTGTGCGCGCGCGCGCTAGATCATAGTGTATAATCTGTCAGAAAGGTTCTTTAGTTCTAGCTGGTGTGGTTCAGTTGGTTGGAGCGTCATCCTATTGCGCTCCAACCAACTAAAGTGATTCTCAGTCAAGGCACATACCTAGGTTGCAGATTTGATCCTAGTTAGGATGTGTAGGGAAGGCAACTGATCCATGTTTCTTAATCTCCCTCCTTTCCTTCCTTCCTTCCTTCCTTTCTTTTTTTTAATCTGAATGCTTCACGAATTTGCGTGTCATCCTTGCGCAGGGGCCATGCTAATTTTCTCTG